CAGTTTTCTCTGCAAATGTATGGCTAAAAAGGGAAAGTCAGGCTCTAACTAATTAAGTTTTACTGTTGATTATAGCAGGAGGAACAAGCTAATTTAATAATCTTATGACTGATCCATGGCAACAGAAGCAGAATCAAAATTCTGAGTCATCATCTCCTTGGAAGCTTTAGGATCTCTAATGGAGCCTCAGCCTCAGCCCATTGCTACTAATGGGGTATATATACCAAATGCAGGTCTGATGCATGCAAAACAGGGCTCAGGATAGAGAGGTTTTTTTCCCTCAGAGAAAGTAGAGGATAGTGGAGGATTATAAAATTTTGCCTTTTCACAGCAGAAAAGCATTGGAAGGGAAAACAACAGTACAGAAAGCTTGAACCTTATCATTCCAAGAACATACATAGAGGAAAATGTCAGGAGGACTGAAGAAAGATAGAAAATGAAACAAATTTGCCTTTCAGAAATATATTTTCATAATGACTGATAGTAGAATCCCCAAATTTGGACCTTAACTCCTCAGTCCCCAGTGCATTATCTGAGGATGCTGAAAAGGCATTTAGAGAAGATTAATTGGGAAATTATTTAATGAGGATTTAAGATATTGGTAATTAGTGACCACATCTATAATTCTGTGAAAATCAACATTTGTTTTTCTGATTTTCCCAATATGAAATTGTATACTAATTTGCTTATGTTTTTTTAAGTTGTAATATTTTTTCCAATTACATATAAAACAATTTCTAATCTTTATTTTTTATAATTCTGAGTGCCTAGTTCTTTTCTACTCTTTTTCCCTTACCCTCTCATTGAGAAAGCAAGCAATTTGATAAAAGTTATACATGTGCAGTCATGCAAAACATATTTCCGTATTAGTCATGTTATGAAAGAAATCATAGATCAAAAAAAATAAGAAAAATAAAGAAAATTTAAAATAAAGTATGCTTCAATCTGCATTCAGATCCATCAGTTCTTTCTCTGGAGGTAGATAGCATTTTTCATCATAGGTGCTTCAGAATTTTCTTAGATCTTTTTATTGCTGAGGATAGCTAAGTTGCTCACAATTGATCATTGTACAATGTTGTTACTGTGTACACTGTTCTGGTTTTGCTCACTTCACTTTGCATCAGTTCACTTAAGTCTTTTCAGGTTTTTTTCTGAAAGCATCCTGCTCATCATTTCTTATAGCAAAATAGTATTCCATCACAATCATGTATTACAACTTGTTCAGCTATTCCCAAATTGATGGGCATGTCCTCAATTTCCAATTCTTTGCCACCACAAAATGAGCTGTTATCAATATTGTTGTACAAATAGGTCCTTTTCCTTTTTTAAAAAATCTCTTTGGGATACAGACTTAGTATTAGTCTGGGTCAAAAGTATGCACACTTTTATAGCCCTTTGGGCATAGATCTAATTTACTCTCTAGAATGTTCACAACTTCACCAACAGTACACTGCTGTCCCAATTTTCCCATCCCCTTTAAATTTGTCATTTTCCTTTTCTGTCATATTAGCCAATCTGACAGGTGTGAGATGGTATCTCAGAGTTGTTTCAATTTGCATTTCTCTAATCAATAATAATTTAGAGCATTTTTTCAAATGACTATAGATAGCTTTGATTTCTTCACCTGAAAACTGCCTCTTTATATTCTTTGACCATTTATCAATTGGGGAATGACTTGTATTCTTATAAAATTAACTCAGTTCTCTATGTATTTGAGAGATGAAGCCTTTATCAGAGAAACTTGATGTAAATTTTTTTCTCCAGTTTTCTGCTTTCATTCTAATCTTGGCTGTTTTGTTTTTGTTTGTGTAAAACTTTTTTAATTTAATGTAATCAAAATTATCCATTTTACATCCCATAATGCTTTCTGTCTCTTGTTTGGTAATAAATTATTCCCTTATCCTTACAGCTGACAGGTAAATTATTACTAACTTCCTTATGGTATTGCCCTTTTTGTCTAAATCATGTACCCGCTTTGGTTTTACTTTGGTGTATGGTGTGAGATGTTAGTCTATATCTAGTTTCTGCCAAACTGTTTTCCAGTTTTCCCAGCAGTTTTTGTCAGATAGTAAGTTCTTGCCCCCAAAGTTTGGATCTTTGTGTTTATCAAATACAAGATTACTATAGTCCTTTCCAACTATGTATCGTATACCTAATCTATTCCACTGATCCAACACTGTATTTCTTAGCCAGTACCTGATTGTCTTGATGATCATTCCTATGTTATATTTTGAGATCTGGTATGGCTAAGCTGCCTTTTTTCACATTTGCTTATATTTTCAGAGAAAAACTGAGCATTTTTTTTTCCTTTCACTAATGGCAAGCTATTTCAACAATCCTCTTTTTTTCCCCTCTCTCCCTCTTTCTGAAAGGAAAATAAAGCAAAATCTTAACCTAAAGGAATATTGTTGTGAGATAATCTGTGGGGGCATTTCATGTGGTAATTAAAAATGATATAATCAAAAGTCTTTTCCCCCTCTAAAGTTTTTTCACAAAATCGAAGAATATCAGAATTCTAAGGGATCTCAGAAGGCACCTAGTTTACCTTCTACCTGAACAAAAGATCCCTCTATAACACCAAGGAGCTAGCTAACCTCTATTTGAATTCTCACTACTTCCTAGGGATAGCCTACTCCATGTTTGGACAACTCTAATTCAAAGAAAGTGTTTTCTTATACTAAGCAACTGTCTATATGAAATTTACCTGCTGTTCTTAGTCATGCCCAAGCAGAATAAATTCAACCCTTCCTACATGTGTTAGCCCTTTAGATACTTGAAAACAATTATCATTCAGTTATCAGTTAGACAAGCATTTCTAAAGGACCTGCTATGTGCTAATCATTGTGAATATAGAGATGAAACCAAAACAGTCCCTACCCTCAAGGAGCTGATGGCTTCTTTTCTTTGGGCTAAACTCTTCAGTTTCTTCAACTAATACTTGTATGACACAGCTTCTAGTGTTGTCACCATCCTGTGAACCTTCCTCTGGACATATTTTAGTGTGTCAATATTCTGGGCCACTGGTAGCATACCTTTTTTTTTTTTAAGTGAGGCAGTTGGGGTTAAGTGACTTGCCCAGAGTATTATGTGTCTGAGGTCAGATTTGATTTTAGGTCCTCCTGCATCCAGGGCTGGTGCTCTATCCACTGCACCACCTAACTACTACCCCTGATAGCTTATCTTTGTCAGTTGACATGATGGCCCTCAATTTTTTTTTAAATCCTGAAAAAGCATATTAATATTTGTGAGGCACATCATAGCGGTAGGTAAATCCAGTTTATGTTTCAAGTCACTAGAGGAGGGACTGGATGTCTACAGCATATGTCACAAATAGCACATGGGCTGATTTTCATGAGTGTGGCCAATTGCTGCCAACATACTCCCCCATCTTTGATACTGCCTCCTATGATAAAAAGAATTGCTCCACTTACGAGCATTAGTGGCAGCTTCTGAATTGCTGTCGAGCTCTCAGCCATTTCCCTCATGTCCACTTGTGAATTGGTCAGCTCATATGCCAAAATAACAGTAATAGTAGTGGTAGTGGTAGTGGTAGTAGTAGTAGTAGCAGCAGCAGCTAACATTTATATACTGCTTATTATATACTGTGTAAGTATTTACATTATTATCTCATTTGAACCTCACTGCTGGAATAGGTGCTGTTATTGTTCCCATTTTATAGATGAGGAAACTGAGGCAAACAGGTTAAGTGAATTGCCCAGGGTTACACAGCTAGTAAAGGTTGCTCTGTTAGAGGACACAGGCTATCTGGAATACTATTTTAGTAATGATAGTTGAGTAAAGCCCTTCTAAATGCAAAGTCCTGCCTTCACATAACTTCATCAACTCTAATACTGGTATTAGAATACTGGTACTAGAATAGCAGATAATCTCTTCATTTGCAAAGTAAGAAGGTTGGACTAGATGACCTGCAAATCATGTGAGATTGTGTGATAAATATCAGTTTATTGATAGAGTTTTAAAAACTTGTTAGAAAAGCAATTTGCAACTGCTAATTGTCCTCAAAGAATCATAGATCCTGGATAAGTTGGACCCCTCAAAAAGCAAAAGATGGACAACCATGTGCATTGTACCATGCTCTAGTTGAGATGCTGTGGCCCTTCTTTTATTTAGCAATAATATTGTTTGAATCAGGGAGCTGAGTAATCCTTAATAAAAACAGTTGTTATCTGCCTATTAAGATTTTCTAAGTTTTCCTTCCCCCTCTCCCCCCAGACTCCTGTTTTGGTTTTCTGCTTTATTTTTGGAAGATAACTTAGTTAAATCATTCCTAGGTTGTTAACCGAACTTGGGTACTGAAAACTACCCACATGCAGTTGCTATTTTTCACATTTTTATTGCTACTTTTTGATTTCATTTGTAACATTCTTAGAGACAGGTAGGTGGATTGGTGGTTAGAGTCCTGGATCTGGACTTAGGAAAACCTGAGTTCAACTGTAGCCTCAGATACTTAATAACCAACCCTGTGACCCTCAAGTCAATTAACTACTGTTTGTCCCAATTTCCTCAAATGTAAAATGGGAAAAATAATGGCACTTACCTAACCAGGGTGATGGTTGTGAGGATCAAAGGAGAGTATATCTGTAAAGTGCTTAGCATAGTGCCAGGTACATAGTAGGTCCTATAAAAATGCTTATTCCTTGCCTCCTTCTTAAGCTGCAGCCTTTCTGGTTTCATTGGAAATAAAATACCATTTGGGCTTTTCTCTTGTAATGCCAGAGAAACATTATCCCTTAGTGAAGTCTCTGAGGAGACAGTGGGCAGTCTTCCACAAGCACTACTGTGCAGCGGTCAGAAGGGACAGAATTAATCCACACTTCAGGGAAGAGCTGCTGCCCACCTCCCATTGCCATCTATCTTTTTGCTGTATGTTAAAATGCCTGTTTAAAAGATGAGTTGTTGGGCTTCTATTGATGTCAGTAGGCTCACCTACCATTTCAGAACAGTGGAAACAAAAGCACTCTCCATCTGAATGTTCACAGGACTGTGCTAAAGAATAATGATTTAAGATCAAGACAAGAGTTAACTACCCACCTCACCAATCAGTGGCCTTCCCCAGGAGCTCTGGATGTCAATGCTGTTGCCTTGGATACCTTGCTTTACCGAAAACACAATAAACAGTGGGATGAGTAAGTGGAATGCTTTATTTTTCAAACTAATTAAAAATTTCAGTTGTACTAAAATCATATGACTATCCCTTTCTTTTGAGGCAATGAGTACAGTCTGAATGTGGAGACAAAACACCAGGAGGCACTCATAAGCTGCGTGATTTAGGGAAAGGCACTTAATGTCTCTGAGTCTCAAAGTGAGAGTAATGCTTAGTGGACTAACCATCTCACAAGTTTGTCATGGAAAAGGCCATTTGTAAACCTTACAGCTCATTATACATACATACATACATATTATATATATATAATATATATATATATATATATATATATATATATGTATGTGTGTGTGTATGTATATGTATATGTATATATATATTTGTATGTATATATATATATATATATATATATATATATATATATATACACATACACACATATAAAATAACCATGAGTTACTATTATTTTGATTTTCCAACTTATCTTCTGAGTTCAATATTGGCTTAGGAGTATGGGATGAAAATGGAACAGGATACATAACCAGTTACCAGAAAGTGCTTTCCAGTGATTGGAGGGGCTAGGTTGAATGGGCCATTGTTTTCAAGCCAAAGCACCGTGAGGAAATGTATGTGTAAGCAGGGGTCAATACTGCATCGACTTCCCACCTCTTTCCTCTATTCAGTTTGAGAAAATTAATAGTCATACAATATGAATTTGGGTCTAAGGCACCTTTATAAAATTGTTGAACTCATGGCTTTGGGGTCATAGTTGCCTGAGGATTAATTTTTCTGGGAGTTTGAAGGTACCAAATTAAATGTAACTAAAGGTAAGGCAGAAAGTCTTCTCAGTTAAAGAAGTCCACTAGACAATTAGGCCAAGTAATTTTTTTGCATATCCAGGTTGAAAGCAATGCAGACAGGATAATTTCCATACCATAGCTTTCTTTTGTTCAATATGACTGGATGCAATAGCAGTAATTGTCGAACACTGGATAGCCTTTCCTATAAGTAGCCTTTCTTTACTTATGTAAAATGAGGGGGATGAATTAGTTGATCCAGGTAGGTTAGGTGGCCCAATGGAGAACCAAATTGGACTTGTAGTCAACAAGATTGGAGTTCAATTTCTGGTTCAGACACTCACTAACTGCCCTGCCTCATTTCCCTCATCTATGAAATGGTGATAATGATAGCACTGCCCTCTCAGAGTCGTGAAAAATAAATGAGATAACATATGTAAAGTGCTTTGCAAACCTTAAAGCTTACTATAAGTATCATCATCATCATCATCATCATCATCATCATCATCACTGTTATTATTAGATCTCTAAGGTCTCTGCTTATTCTAAATCTTATGATTAACTTGGTCAGTTTTGCCCAAGTATACCTTCCCATGGAATATTTACTCTCAAAGAAAGAAAGTTATAATTGTATTTAGAGTTCTAAGAGAGGTCAATTTGCTTCCTGAACAAATGGACCTGGACCAGTGCTCCCACCATTATCCTTTGTTGCCTTCTCTTATGCATTATTTTTCTAGCTTCTCTCAACATAAAATGCCTGCTCTCATCCAGGAGACATTAGAAGATGTGTCTCCAATTAAGTCATCCTTATATTTTAAAAAATGGTTTCTGAATTGTCTGGATAGAAAAATTCTCAGTAACTTGTGTTGTTTTACCTGAAGATTCAGCAAAGGCTTTCTCCCTGGAGTGCTCCTTTCCAGCTGAAGGCCCTTAAATTTGTCTGTGATTGCTTGTGCATGGCAACTGGGCCCCTTGCAATTAATCTGTAAAGGCATTCTGACGAAGAGAGGTGACTTTCACAAGTGTACACTTTTGGCCTTCTCAACAGTCTGGTCCTTTACTAAAATAATTATTCTAGTTCTAGTACCAGCAACTTTAATGGTCTACTAAAGTCAAAGAGTTTTTCCCCAAGAACTCAAGACTCCATTCATGTTTCTGTGACGGCAGCAATTCTGTACCTCCTATCTGTTCTCAGACTCAGCAAGGCCAGGGCTATTGTCAGAAGAAAGGGAATCCCTATAACCCCAGTTAAACCCATATTAGGGAGTAAACAACCAAATTTACAGGATATGATAGTCAAACATGGAAGATTATCCAGAATAGATCTCAAATGTTTATATAACTTTAGTGTGGGAATTTGAGTTTGTTAATTGGCTTTTTAGGTCTTCGATATTCTGGCTTATTTAAGGATTTCTTTTTGAATAGCTAGTCACTTGGAAAATCTTGGCTTTCCTTAAGCATCTTTTGGACATATTCCTTAAAATATTAAGTTTAGATTACAATGAACCTTTAGAATATTCTTTTATTTTTCTCCAAGATTTTATGTGTGTATGTGTGTGTGTGTATAATGTTTTATTACTTTATTTTAAAATAAAGATTATTTTTTGTATTCTGAATTTAATTTAATGAATGCCAAAAAAAACCTGCCATATAGAAAACAGAATTGAAAAAGAGGATCACATGTAAAAATCTAAATCTCTATTACATATTGCTTGCTTTTTCCCAATTTATTTTCAGTTCCAAATTCTCACCCCCCCCTTCCCCACTCATTGAGAAGGCAAGAAAAACAAAGCCTGTTAAAATATGTACAGTCTTGCAAAACAAGTTCCCACATTAGCAGTATCCTAAAAGGAAAAGAACATATGTTTTGATCTGCTGAGTCCAGCACTTCTCTGTGGAGAGGTGGGCAGCATGTTTCATCATGAGAATTGTGCTTTTTGGTGTGTTGATCAGAATTCCTAAGTCTTTGAGAGTTGTTGTCCTTACAATATCGTGGTTATTGAATAAACTGTTCTCCTGACTCTGCTCACTTCACTTGGCACCAAGATGAGCCCTAGTGCTAACATATTTCCCATTAATGTTCTAGTTTGTCCTTTTATCCATATCCACATTTGTCGAATCTTCCTTCTGCTTCACATTGAATTGCTGTCGTGTAGCTGGCAACTCTGAGTCCCGTTATACTCTTCGTGGTCTATCATGGAGATCTTTTATTTATCCTGACAACTTATTTGTGCATAGATCATATCACTTAAGATGTATGGGGTTACTGGTCCACCATTTGTATTTATCACAGCATATCCTACTCAAAGAGAGAGGATGTGTATCTTTTGCTGCTTTTGATGATGAGCTTTCAACGTTTTGCAAAAGTCCTGTTTGGTTTGTACAGTTTGCATTGCTTCACCTCACACCTCCTATTTGATTTTTCCATCCTAACCCAATCATCCTTATCACCTTTTAGCATCCTATCAGTAGATTAAATGAACACAATTACAGCAATTGTCTGCTCATTCTCCAAGCATATTCCTTGAAATTCAAACCAGAAAGCAAGTAAAAGTGAGGCATACTGTATGAGCTTATGCACATGTTGATGCACAAAGGGATATAAAGTCTTAATTATCTGCATGCAGATGATATGCTTTGCTGATTATCTATGGAAAATTAAATTTGTGCTAGTTCTTCTCCCTTGCCCACTGCCTGTAAAACTCTCAACATACTATCTCTGTTACCCAGCTGGTGTATGTTTGGCTAATACAAATGAATATTAGCCTGTGCCGAACTATTAGGAGGATAAATCATTTAGATTATCCACACCTCAGATGCCCTCCATTAGTAGAGATAATTAAAAGTGGTCTAAGTGTATATCAGGCCTATACATATATATGCAAGTTTCTATTCCTGGCTGTTTTATGTTGTTTTAAAACAAAATTTAAATTAATTAAATTAAATTAATTAAATTAAATACTTGGTTTTGCATTTTAAAAGAAAGTCTCCTATCTTGAAGTTACAGGGCATAGGCCACAATTACTACAAACATAATTTTTGAAAATACATACTACTACAAGTACTGAAAGGGAAGAATGTATGATGTTTAAGGCCTTTAGTCTTACCTGAGGATATAGGCAGCTAATTCTTTTTTTTTCTATTTTGTGCACTTAAATGCTTATGGTTACATTAATGTCTGATATATCTGATAGATTAAATACCAGGCTAGTGAGACTAAGGTTTAGGGATCATTTCTCATATCAGATTATTACAATAAGAGAAACTTCTACAGCTAAAATCTACACACTTACTATGGACAGGTGACTCATGAATGAAGGCTAGTCACAAAGGGAAATGAATGGATACTTTAGTATCAAAGCTATGCCGAGGGAAGGGTGACAAAGACTTTGCCCCCAAGTCACTGGAATGTAGAGGGTACAGGAATTTGATTCAAAAACAACTGAGTTCAGTGTCTAGTTCCTGGTTAGCTAAAATAGGCAACACCCACTATTATTATTTATTAACACCCATCTGCAAGCCACTATAGTGACTAATTCTCCTTTAGGTTCTTAATTAAATTTCTTTAAATTACTTTTCCTATTTTTACATCATGAATTGTGAAGTTGATCTGAGGGTCTTTTTCATGTTGCTTACCATTGGTGCATATTCTGCTACTTGCGCTGGGTACCCCAAAGGCTAATTATTATACTATTTAGCACACATTTACAATCGCTACTACAACGAACTCAACTCATTCCATTGCAAAAGATCAATCAATTAATAAACATTTATTAAGTGTCTATTATGTTCCAGGCACTGTGCTGGATGATAGGTCAGTAGTGTCATCATCACACATGAAGAAAATTGTATGGATTAATCCTAGTATTACTATCTGTTACATACATGTTTCTTTAGGCTAGCAATTTTCCTAACTGGTGTTTCTCTATTTCAGTATTTATCAATGTAAGTTAACCTTGTAGATAGTCACTAAAGCCCAAAAAATCTTAAATGAGTGATCAGGTTCCTAGACTTAGCAACTTGTCTTCCAAAGTCAACACTCCAACCACAGTGGACAATTCAGTTATGTCAACAGAAAGGTGTCTTACTTAAATGGTTATTAGGCAATGAAAAAGGTTCCTTTTCAATTTGCTATTTGCTGTTGATGATCACCTGGGTTTCTGAGAAAGATTACATTTTTGGACTTGCAGTACTCATTTTAAAAATCCATATATTTCTCTTCACATTTCATTCAGTCATTGTATGTCACATACCTATGTTTCTGGAGTGTATGGGGTGTTCAGGGAGGATTAGCACCTCTGGTGTGAGGGCTTGCTGAGCCCTTTTCAGGGCTGCTCATCCACCTTTGGGGTCCACCTTCACCCAACTCTCAAATGTGGCTCCAAGAAGCTGTAACATGCACAGCAGCCACAGCTCTGTAAGCCATCTTGGCGGATGGGCTAACAAGGTTGAAGGTAACTGAACCCATAAGTGAGTTAGGGGGTGTCTGTCCCAAGCACATGAAGACTTCCTCGCCGGAATGGGCAGATGAGAACGAGGCGGCTGAAGCAGGCGTTGTAGAGCGCTTAGAACTTGATCACGTGGAGAACGCTAAGGTCATCCACTGCATCCCAGGCCACTGCCAGTTGTCTGGACTTTGATGACTGTGGAAGAGAGAGTGAGGCTGACAGCTTTATGCAACTCTGCCTCACTTAAATCCAATTCACTCACAAGTCAAGCCATCACCCCATGATGTCATTGGTCCTCTTCTAAAACATCACCACTACCTATGTTTCTACATAGCTGAGTAGCATGGTTTGTTTGTTTCCTTTTAAAAACCATTAGCAATTTTTGAAGGATAAAATAAGTATAATAAAACTGATTCTTTTAAATTAGCCTTATGAAAACTCCCTTGAAGGCCTACTTCTAGATCCTCATTATAGTGTAGAGCTCACCCTGGGTTCATGAAGACTACTCTAGCAAAACAAGTTATGGCAGCTTCTCGAAAGCTAAAAAGTCTTTAAATATGGACTCAGTTAACATGTTCTGTATCTGTAGACTGGCTACTGGTTGACAAGTTTTTTTGCCACAATAATTCATGAACATAGTTTCTTTACATGTAGAGTAGTCATAATGTGCCTTGGTAGATGTAATAATTTATATTTATATTAAATTTAAGGGGCAGCTAGGTGGCACAGTGAATAGCACTGGCCCTGAAGTCAGGAGGACCTGAGTTCAAATCTGGTCTTAGACTAAACACTTGACACTTACTAGCTGTGTGACCCTGGGCAAGTCACTTAACCCCAATTGCCTTAAAAAAAATTTAAAGAGAACCTTTACATACATTATATCATCTGGGGCCTACAACAACCTTAATGTTGCTAGGCCTGTTTTATAGGTAAAGAAATTGAAGCTCAGGTTAGTAGAGCCAGGACTCACACCCCCTAGGCCTTCTGAGTCCAATTCCCAGTACTTTTTCCACCATACTACTTTGCCTTGCCTTCTCTGTGTTTTTGCTTTCTTTCATAATCAACCAGCTAATAATGTTTTGTTTTGCCAGTAAGCCTATTTTACTTAAAATATCTAAAATACTTATTTTTCTGTTATTATAAATACCAATGAAAAGGAACATATTTTAAATGGTCCATCTTTCCCAATCAGACTAGTTATTGAGTTGTAGTAGAACCAAAAATATACTTTCCTGATAAAACTTTATTGTCTTATCAGCAGAGCCCTGTAATAGCAGAATTGAGAATAATCTGTTTTTATACTTGAGAAGCCTAGAAAGCTATTATGTAAGAGAATGAGAGTACTACTTTCACATGCTGGTAAAATTCTTCCATTACAGCAGTATGTGCCTCATTTCTAAAAAGCAAAAAAATTAAATTGCTTTTCCTTTCCTAATAAAACCCTTTCATTTTTCTTTCTTAATAAAATTGATCTGGAGAACATGGACAAAGGCCATTTAAAATGCTGCTGTGGGCCACTTGCTGGGTTCTGCCTACAGAAAAATGGTGGGCTTTGTTTTTATAAATTGGTTCTTTACATTGCCATTCTGGGGCCTTTTCATTTAACTTGAGTTTTGATGAGCAAGGATGTATTTAACCCTTCCTAGCATTTCTTTGTTATATCAAGGATTATTTCTTCATACACATATGACGGAGAACCAGTTACAGCAGAATAGAATTCAAGTTCTATCTGCTTTGCAATGAAGTATTTTATATAAAATTACTCCTTATAATTATTGGAAAAAATACAGTATATTTTGGTTATTTTTTTAAACTGAGGTTTAACCTCAAATACATGTTGAACTACTTAGATATGGAAATAATAAAAAATGACATAAAACAAAGTAGCTAATGCCAAGGTTCAACTTTAAGTTTTATATTGAAGCACTAAGTGGGGGAAATGTTTGGAAACTTTCATGAATTTACCCTTTTAATCTTGAAAATTGCCATTTTTCCTCCATCATAATACAGTTGTAATAGAACAACTTTCCAGAGAAAAAGGCCTGAATATAGCACTCCGATGAAGGAGGTCCAAACAGCGAAGTTATCTTGTTAGTGCTTTAATACAACAAAATGTTATCAGATCTATTAACCAGCATTTTCATATCACAGTGATAATTGATAGTGAGAATCCCAAGGCTTAATAAGATCTTGAAGTGCCTTTTGGAGCATCAAATAAATATTAGATTACATTCACTAGATTTTTTAATGCAGTATGTTGAATTATTGATATTCTGATTCTTTGAAGATTTGCAATCCATATATCTTTCCATATGGTAACTATCTGTGAGGCCTTGGCAAGTCACTTAACCTAGCAGTTAAATCTTTAACTACCCAGAATGCCTGAATACTCAGCCATTCTGGAGAATGGAGATAATTGTGTAAAGCCATGAACTTGTTTCACAAATATAACTCCCCTTTCCTTTTTTTTTTCTTTTAGTGGTAAAAATGAGATAAAAATGAGGTAGAGATCGAGGTCAGGATATAGTTTAAAAAAGAGTTCAAGGTGGGGGCAGCTAGGTGGCACAGTGGATAGAGTACCAGCCCTGAAATCAGGAGGACCTGAGTTCAAATCTGGCCTCAGACCAAACACTTGACACTTATTAGCTGTGTGACCCTGGGCAAGTCACTTAACCCCAATTGCCTAAAAAAAAATTAAAAAAAGAGTTCAAGGAAAAGTATGGATAAGAAATTTGCCCAAAGTCAATAAATTCCCCCCAAAATATATTTCATACTGTAGTTCTTCAAGTGTTCCTTTGTGGGAGGAAATTCAAATGCCATTTTAATTTCTGTTTTACAGCAAAAGTTTTCAAAGTCTGGACCAGTTATCAGCAGAAGTTAGTCTATCTCAGACATCTCTGGGTCCAGCCCATTCACAGGATGGAGATGGCAAACAAGACGTGTTAAATTTACTAAGTGAAGGTAAGCAGTGTCTACCTGCAACATTCTTTTTCTTCTACTGCCTTGCTATGTTCATAGAAAATCAGAATTTGCTTTTGGGGATGGACTTTGCGCAGAGCATACTGGGAAGGTTATATGGTCCTGAAAGGGGCCTTAAAGATCTTCTCGTTCCATTCTCTTATTTTATAGACAAAGACACAAGACCCAGGAAAGTTAAATAACATCCCAAGGTCAGAAAGGTAGGAAGTAATAGATCTAGAATTTAAATGACAGTCCTCTGAATCCAGAACTTTTTCTGTCAACTACACCACTCTGTGATGATGGTTTCTTTTCTTTTCCTTCTCATACATTTAAATACAACAAGAAGTTCAGTTAGACAAAAGCTCAAGGAATGGGCTATTTGTGGTTAATTAAATTTTCCGATTAATCAGCCATCTTTTGTTTCACGATGCAGTAGAAAGTACAGTTGACTTAAGTCTAGCCACCTAGCTTTACATCCTGGTTCTGGCACTTATTACCAAAGAGACAATTGGGGCAAGTCACTGAAACTCTCTGGGCCTCAGATTAGTCATTTCTTTTTAAAAAGGGAATGGAGATTTAGACTAGATGATTTTGTAGGTCCTCTCCATCTCTGAATCTATGATCCTTGTTGAAAAATATTAATTAGTTCATTTTGCTGCTTTTAGTTAAAAAAGTAGGCTGTGATGGGGATATGTTAGAGCCAGCTCAAAAGCCAATTGTTAAATTTTCAGTATGAGCATTTACGTCTTGGAAATCTGCAAACACTACAAAATAGGCCATGATTTATTATTTTGTTGGTTAAGAAAGTGATGCTTTGTTGTTGCTGACTTAAGAAAGTGATGGAAAAAATGTTAATAATGCCGATTAAACTTAAAAGTGTGTTGTGCATTATACTTTTTTTTTAAACCTGGAGAACCAGTTGGGAAATATTTACCTACACACTCCTAGCTATACATCCTTTAATAAGGATGATTCAGATAATCTAGACTAGAACTTTATAGTTTACAAAATTATTCTCAGCAACCCATAAGTTAGTTACTACAAATAATATTTCACCCATTTTGCAGATGAGAAAACTGAGTGTTAAATAACTTGCCCCAAAGCCTCAGAGCTCATAAATGGCAGAGTCCAAACCAAACCTTTGGGCTTCTGAGTCCAAATTCAGTGTTCTTTCCACTAGAGTCCAGCTATAGTTCCTCACGACCATCATGGGGAAGATAAGTTATTGTCGTCCAGCACTGTCGATACAGGTATAAGACAGTGGGCTTGGAATGTCCAATCACAGTTTTAAAAGGAAGTGATTTTAAAAACAACAAACCAACCTGAATCCCTACTATGTGCTTGTTTTCTTGTGACCTTCCTTTTTATTGAAGTACAATGCAGAACAAGTTTTAAGGATTCTGTATAATTGCTGACAAGGCCTCACTGCTTGCCTGTAAGTTCCTTTGGGCCTCAGACAATGGGAATTGAAATTGACCAAAACTGCAAGTACTTACCAGGGAAAGACTCCACCATCTTATAAATTACAAAAGTGCACCATCTTGTGGCCAGTCACAGACATTGTAAGTGTTCATGTTTTTCAATTCCCATGATGTCAGGCTAACAGAACTTAATTTGATTGATCACAGCCTGTGATCTTCAAAACCCCTTGATCAAACCCTAACAGCCACTTACTGTGTCATTGGGCAAATCACTTCAATATCTTCTGTCAAATTGGGGGAGGGGGATGTTGGAAGAGATGACCTCTCAGATTCCTTTAAGCTCTGCTTTAATCATTTTTTTACCTTCTATTTGCAAGGTTCTACAATACTTACTCCCACAAGATCTGCTAATTTGATATGAGATAAAACACTGAATTTGCACACTGCATCATCTCAGGTGGATGAAAGTATATCTGATTTGTGGGGCAGCTCGGTGGAGTGGTAGATAGAACTGGAGCATTGGGACTGCAATCACAAAGACCTGAATTCAAATGTGATCTCAGTCACTAGTTGTGTGACCCCTGGGCATGTCACTTAACCTCTATTTGCCTCAGCTTCTTCATCTTAATAATGGTTTTTTGAGGAGCAAATGAGACAGTTGTAAAGTGCTTACAAAATGCCTGGCACATAGCAAGCAGTATATAAATGTTGCCTATTATTATTTTAAGAGATTAAAATGCAGAGGTTTATCACTAGACTGGCCATAGGGTCAGTAATTTTTTTAGTAACAGCAACACTGTAAAAACATTTTACTGATGTTTTTAATTTTTACAAAACGACTGGCTACCCCTAATACATTATTAATATCCGTTATAACAACAATAACAGAAAAGTTAACCCAAGCAGAGATCATACCCGACAGTACATGCAACACTTTACCCTCAAATTGTTCATCATCTTTCTACTGGGGAAAGAATGTTGCATCATTGGTCCTCTAGAAGAGATGTTGGTTACTGTATTTTAATTTGGATGTCACTTAATGCTGTTAGGCATCTAGGTGTCACAGTGTTAGACTTGGAGTCAAGAAGATCTGAGTTTGAATCTTGCCTTGGATACATATTAGCTGTGTGACTCTAGGCAACCATTTAACCTCTTTGGGCCTTAGTTTCCTCATCTATAAAAGGGTATAAATACCTACTTCTAGGGTTGTTTTGAGATAATACACATAAAACACTTTACAAATCTTAAAGCACTGTATATTATTAGTTTCACTGAAATTACGGTTATCATGGTATATGTTATTTTCCTGGCTCTGTATCGTCATGCAAATCTTTTCATTTTTCTCTGAATCCCTCCTATTTGTCAGTTCTTGAGATCATAGATCCAAAACTGAAAGGGTCTTCAGAGGTCATCTAATCCACACTCCTCCCCTCATTTTACAGATGAGGAAATTGAGACCCAGTGAGGTTAAGTTACTTGTCCAAGGTCACAAAGGTAGGGTGTAATATTACATTATGTCTGCATACCAGCTTGGTCAGACATACTTCAAAAATGGGTATATTCCACTTCGTTTAATTTGTTTTTTGTTACCACTCTTTTTGTGCCCATTAGTGGGATTTAGTAGGTGAAAGGGCATGAACTTAGTAATTTTTATCTTGTCATTCCAAATTGTTTTCCAGAATAGTTGAACATTTGACAGCTCCACCAACAGTATGATAGTAGTGTTCCTGTCTTACCCTTTCCATCACTCGCTATATTTTTATCAACATCAATGTAACAACTCCTGAGGTCTATCTACTATGTTGTAAAAACGTTTTCATTTAGTATTGTTGAAGAAAATATGTGCACCCACTAAGTCACACAACCTCACTGAAGTACTAGACTTCCTTCAGTGCCAAAAATGTATTAGTTAACCTAATCCAGTTTCTGTTAAACTCTTTGATTGTAAAGGTCAAACTCAGATTTTTGAGAGTTTCTTAGGTAGTATATGTGGTAGAAATACAAAAGACATTTTGGTTTATTTATATGATTATACTTAAGATTTTCTGGGTTTAGTGAATACTTGCTTTGGCTAAAAGGGAGGTGAGGTTTGCATTTTTTGTTTGTTTGCTTTTGTAAAGGTAGGGTCAGAACAAGGGAAAGAATTTCTTCCTGCTCAATCCTTTTTCTCTGTCTAGAGCTCTGTTTATTACATCAAGCAGCCATACAAGTTAAACCTTTTTAAAACAATCTCCTGGGGCAGCTAGCTGGCCCAGGGGATAGAGCACCAGCCCTGCAGTCAGGAGGACCTGTTTCAAATCTGGCCTCAGACACTTACTAGCTGTGTGACCCTGGGCAACTCACTTTAACCCCACTGTCTAGCCAAAAAAAAAAAAAAAGAATCTCCTTAACTCAGTTACAATGTACACGTTTCTAGAAATCCTTCAAGGAATTATTTTAATGTTACATATTTTGACCAAAGTATCTAACAATTGGGTTGGGATATAAATATATGTACATACATATATACATTATGTGTGTATTTATTACTGACTGGGGCTTTTTCTTTCTCCTCAGATCAAGCTTTGGGCTATCTCTGTTCTAGGCATGGAAAGCATAAACCAACTTTGTGGGTCTGGTGACTTTCCTTACTGCTAATCCATTCAAATGAAAGTGATAGCGAATCTGCAATGTCATGCAAATGCCATGCAAGCTGTAACTTACAAGAGCTCACTGCTAAGGGAAAATGTATTCACAAATGTCATTTACTTCAACACTTTCAGCATCTGTAATTTTATCAGTGTGGGTGTTGTCATCACCCCCACAAAACCTAAGTCCTAGTTGTCATCACCCAAGTAATCTCATCATCCAGGTGATGAGAGCCAAGCTCCTCAGACCCACATTTAGTCCATCACCAAGACCATGCAATGAACCCTTTTAGCTGGGTAGGACCCGATGGAGCTTGTGCTTTACTCTTATAGTATTTGGGAACCCAGGATCACTATCATTCTGTGGAGAGGAATCTGAGAATTTCTGTGGACATACCACCCCCCCCATGTCAATGGAAGAATTATCACTGTTGACACCGAGTTCTGTCCATCATCAGTCTAGGGGTGAGGGGTGGATGTTAATTCAGAACCTTTCCTAGGCAGTGGGTAAATCAAGAACAAAACAATCTTAGATTTAAAGACTTTGTCTTCCTTTTCATTCCATTTCTTAGTTTCCCATTTCATTACACTTTAGAGGAGCAATGAGCAGCTTTTGAAATAAGCTTGACATCAACTTCCTTGAAGGTTTTACTGCTAAGGATATTTGTGTGTGTGTGTGTGTGTGTGTGTGTGTGTGTGGTGTGTGTGTGTGTGTGTGTGTCTAAGATACCTTCTATGTTGCTGACTTTGGAGAAGCCTAACACCTAAGATGCTACAACAGTATTTCTTGAATAACTCCAATTTTATGCTGTCAAATTAATAACACATTTCTAGAGATGCAAGATATAGCAAGACAGTAAATGAAACAAAGCCCTGTAGTACCTCCAGAGAGAATAAACAATGCAAATCCATACAAACAAGTCTCAAAAGTGAGGTATGTGAATAAATAGAATAGAGAGATGCTGGCTTTTCTGAAGTGAATTAGCATTAATGAAAGGCATCAGAGCTCATCCACAGGCCAAGTTGGTTTATGCTTTCCCTGCCTAGAACATAATCCCCCATCACAGCTCTTTTAGAATCTTTGGTTTTCTTCAAGCTGGTTCAAGCACCACCTTCTACAGGAGGCTTTCCCTGATATCTATTTTGTATGTATTATTGTGTGCATGTTTGTCTCCCCCAGTAAAATGAAAGCAAATGCAGAAATTTTACTTTTATCCTTCTATCCACAGTACCAAATACAGTTAGCACCTTATGCTTACTGATTGACATATCATGCAGCCATTGACAGGGGACATAAGGACCCAGGAGAATAACGGCCCAGCCTTATTAAAGCAAGTGCCACGCTTGGTGGTCTGATATGATGCAAATGTTGCTACAGAAAAGCCTGAACTACAGTCAACACTACCCAGGCCTCATACAGTTGTTGGGTTTCTCCTTTGCTACTTTTATACATACATAAGTTGGAAGAAATGATCAAGGCAAAGGACTTCCAGCTGGAATTTGATTGTTTTCAAATGTACAAGTTGCCTTCCATGGTGGGAATGCACTCTCTCCTTACCCCTGTACCCAGGAATCTCTGGCTTTCTTCAAAGCTCAATTCAAGTCAAAGATGCCAGTCTTAATCCTCTTGGGTCCTGCTGCCATCCCTCAATTTTTTGTACTTTGCATCAATTTTCAATGTCCTTTTTTTGCCCTCCCACTACATCGGAAGCCTCTTGAGGGCAGTATAGCTCTGGCCTCACCAGGTCAGGCTCAACATGTTCCTGAATAAAAATAAACTCACTTTCATGGCTGTTTAAGGTTGGAAAGTGTTCAAAACAACCTTGTGGGAGAGGGGGTGCAAGTATTAGTATCCCTATTTTACAGATGAGGAAACTGAAGATCTCTAAGGTTCAGTGACTTGCTTATGATCACATAGTATCTAAGGTAGGATCTGAACTCAGGCTTCTGACTCCAATCAATCAATCAAAAAACACTGACTAAGGGCCTGCTATGTGCCAAGTACCGTGGATACAAAAAGAGGCCAAAGACAGTCCTGCCCTCAAGGAGCTCACAATCTAAGGGGGGAGACAACATGCAGACAAATATATTTCCTAGGATTTTAAAATGTGGCAGTTCTCAATGATATTTTTACAGGCAAATTTTTTTAAAAGTGCATATAATGACTTAAATTCTTATTATTCTCTGAACCCTAGGTAAAGAAGACACTCCCTCATTACTTGGTCTCTGTGGCTCTCTGACCTCAGTAGCAAGTTATAAATCTCTAACAAGCCTGAAATCAAGTGACTGCCTTGCAAGTCCCACCACAGAGATGACCAGTCCAGGCTTAACTCCATCTTGAAAGGAGAATGTGATGGCCACCAGATAAGATCTCTTATGTTGCATACATTCAGTCTACATTCCATGAGTTTGACTGCTGGGAAGACATTAGTCTTAAGCAAATAGTGATATGCTTTTTAAAGATTTCATTTATATTCTCTTATTTAGAAACCAGTTCATATACTCTTAATGAAGAATATCTTAAACTGATTTTTCTTGTTTTCAGTTTCTCCGATAAATGTGCAATTTTTAAAGGTGAATTGATAAAGATTTTAACAAAAATTTAAACCAGATAGCTCCCCAAATAATTCAAAATGCACATACTATTCAAGTGATTTTTCACATATTTATTTAAATATTTTTAGCTACTAAGACCTGAGTTCACGGGATTTAAACAAAGCATTTTCATGTATTGATGCAGATGGCATCGTGAAGAAGAAATGATACCCAAAGAGGGCCCAGACAAGGCAGTTGTATGCCTTAGACAAGGTCTGAATGAAAATTCTGTGCCCGGTGTTACTGTCCACTGGAGACACTGAGATACTGTTGCCTCCATGTAACACATACATCTTTGCATACCACCAAATCTATTCCTACATGGCATGGAAAGTAAAACTTTTCTGGCAGCGTTTTTTTTTAAATGGTATTCCTTACCCTGGCCCCCCATGACCCAGTGTCATTAGGTAACTCTTACTTGCCTTTCCACAGTCTAGGCTTTGCTTCACAATTTCAGGTTTTCATTGAGCTCCTGCTGTAATCCAATGCTTAGATGTCTTGTAATACATGATAGCGATTGTCAGAACTGTTCAGATTTTGAAGAAGCTTATTCAATTAATTTGAAAATGCTTTTCAGTTTTTAACATTTACCAGTTGATAATGACATTCCACTTTACCTTTTGTAAATTTTATAGACATTTATCTTTTTAGACAGTTGATAATGTATTTCATAAGGTCCATGAAAAAGAGATTTATAATAACCTAGATGCACTTTAGTGAAATGATTAACTAAATTCCTTGGCCAGGTTTCCCTGTAATTTTCTAAAAACCTAGATGGTAAGTTGCCATGTATGTGGAGATATACACACACACATACACATACACACACACACACACACACACACTTCAAAAGAAAAACTATGTAAAAATATGGAGAAAATAATAAAAAATTAGAAACAATTTGGATGGCTTAAATTTAAACATGTGTGGTAAAATCATATATATCACACTAAAGCTTTTTCTCTCCAATATGAAAAAGCAATAAAGTATATTTTTCCAGGCTTTATAATTAATCACAGTCCATTAAAAACAAAATTATTAATAAAAGTTTGCTCCATATTTCAAATGATAATACTAACCTACTACGTGACATTGGACAAATCATTTGACCTGAGAATCAATATTCTCATCTATAAAATGAGTTTAGACTAAATCTTCTAATACCTGATAATGAACTTTCACATTTTGGTGTGTAAAGGGTGGGGAACTTATTCTAAATAAGGCATGCATTATCTTTCTACGCTTCAGATTCCATAGCTGCAAATAATCATCTATTTATAAATCCCACTATACTAATTTAGAATAAAAAATAGATGATTTACTTTCTATAGCTAATTTGTTTTGGAGGGGAGGGGGAGCACAGTCTATATTTTGTTGTGCCAAAGAAGTTTTTTAAATTGTTTACATGAAGTTACTGCAATACAACTGGAGCCTTCATATCTTTGTTTTGAGATAGTATTGTTTGCGATGGATAGGACTGATTTATGTTTTAAAATACTGAATAACGTAGGTCTTTTAAGTACTTGGCACTACTTATTTACTTTATTTCCATGAAGAAATAGTTGGCATAATAGAAATTTAACCTAGTTATTCTTTGGAATAGAAATTAAATGAATGTGGGAATTTATTGAATTACTTACATGTTTCCTGGCCACTCTAATAATTTACACTAAAAATAAATACTAGTACTTGTAGGTGGAATAAGTAGGCTTAAGTTGTATGATTTCAGGGAAAAAAGAAATCCTGATAATAAAAAATGTTTATCCTCTCCCATCTCCCTTATTATGATAGCTTATAATTTAAACTACCTTGATACAAAGGATTTAAGAGCAGATTTTGATTACAGTCATAGGGGCAACGCAATCAAATGCCTGCCGACTTAATTTTTGCCTTGGTCCTGGATTAATAGTGCTACTTTCACAAGATCTGCCACTGAAAATGGCATCATTTATTGTAACTATCAACCTACCTTTATGACATCCTATTTTTAAGTTATTTATTAAATAACTAATTTGCATCCATTTTTAGCATACAGGAAAGAGGTGGAATCTTTAAAGTGTTCAGATTTTATTTAACAGATACTTTGTGCATTCTTACATTTTACTGTGTGCAGAATTAAACATTTTTCTCAGCCCATTGTATCAAAGACACAATTACAATTTTTTACTTCTGTCATGCTCCCTTTCTTGGAGCTCTTGGAGTAAAGTTCATTTGCTCTTGTGGAATTTCAGCTTTCTACACAGGTCATTTCATAATAGTCATAGAATTTATAGATGTCTGTGCATGAGAAAACTGATTGTATGTCTCAAGCCTCAGTTCTAAATGGCAATGTTCATTGTTCAGGAAAAAAATATCATGAATGTTGAATTAATGCCAAAACTTGTATGGTGTATTTTGTTGCCTTGATATATATTTGTTGCATGTAAATTAAACATTTTATAGCCATCAATAGTGACTATTTTCCTTTGCTTCTACAAGCTCATTCCAACAAGAATATAAAATATGGGAAGAAATCACAATTTCATTTTTTAATGGGTACTCATTTGGAGAAATACATTTCAACACAAGTAAAATCTCATTATCATCATATATTTTATTTATTTATTTTTTTGGTGAGGCAATTGGGGTTAACTGACTTGTCCAGGGTCACACAGCTAGTTAAGTGTCAAGTGTCTGGTCTGAAACTGGATTTGAACTTGGATCCTCCTGACTGCAGGGCCAGTGCTCTATTGCATGTATTTATTTTAAAGAAGATCTTAACAAACTATTATTGCCCAGTGGTGCCAGAGCTTGAGCTTTTGTTTTCTCCATCCTTGCCACTGAGCATGTTAGATAAGCTGTCACAGTGGCATATTTCAGAGTATATTTCAAGCAAATTAAAGATTTTATTTTAATTATTTAAAAATAGGTCTCCTAACATAGAGTAGAAAAAAATTACTCAGAACTGATGTCTTAACATTTATACCATTATGGAACCAAGTTGAAAACCTTTAAAGTGACACTAAATCAAACTTGGGGTGATTTTTCCTAGGAATCCTCCCCAAAGGGAATAACTTAAACCAGGGAAGGATTTATATTGGGGTAAATAAACATAATGGATATAATGGAAGGATTTATATTGGGGTAAATAAACATAATGGATATAATCTAACAAGAGGGATTATTTTTAAGCAGATACTCACTTGTATAAAAGTCTTGTTTCACACCCAATAAAGCTATCCAATCTAATATTTGGAGAAAAAACTTTTTTCCTTCCGGAAAGAAATCAAATTTAATGATATTCGGTTAAGAAGCAGTACATTCAGAATTTGCAACAAATGTATTCCTCCTGGAACCATCAAATCACAAAGAAACTTAGTATGTAGCATGTCTGTTGTATTTTAAGAAACGAAAGCTGATGATATTCCTGAATGACAGCTAATCATTATTCCTTGAATTCATAAAAAGTCAGAAATCTGAGCACAGCATTCCATTGATTATACAATGTTTATGTAATTTCTTCAACTGAGTCGATACTAAAGGGGTTTTTTGTTTTGTTTTTAAACATCCATCTTTACTTCTGAACCATGACAGAGATACAATGTGCTCATACACTCACATGCAGCTAACACTGACTTGCTAAAAGCATATTGTATCTTCAAGTAAAGGATGATCTTTAACAAGTATGGCATTTTTAATCCCATAAAGTTCCATCTTGTTCTCTATGGCCTGTCAGACATTCTACATGGCTATCCTTGGCTTTCTTCAGAGCCCACTTTGAAATGAGGGCTGTTCTGATACCACAAGGTGCTAGTACTCTCCATCTCTTGGCATTATTTTGCATTTACTGACCTGTTTTCATGGTGCATCTCCTCAGGAGGCCTGGGAACCCTTAAAGGCAGGGACTGTTTTATCTTTGTATCCCCAGCACTACCACATATGATAGGGGATTAGCAAATAACTTGTTTAACTTATTTGAATTCAAGAAAATTTTTTATTTCTCTGTAGAAAATGATAGGGCTTAGAACTGGAAGGGACTTGAGCTCATATGGTCTAACCTTCTCTTTAAAAAGGAGGAAACTGAGGTCCAGATAGATTCAGTAACTTACCCAAGGTCATACAGGAAGTATGAATCTAAAACCAAGTCTGGACTTCAAATCCAGCATTCTCTTTATGACATTAAGTAGCTTCTGTGGCTCAATGTGCAGAAAACCTCAATTCAATTGCTTTTCATTGGTACATATCTTTGTATGTAATTTAGCTATGTTTTTTAAAAATAACTGTCAGTTATACTAAAAACAATTCCAGGTAAATAGAAAGATGAAATTTAATTAATCTTTGTCATATTTATCCATGACGTTGAAGATGAAATATACACAGAAGGAAAGACTACCACTTGAAAACACAGATTTATACACTTTCTTCATTTCAGTATCAATGCAAATAGAAATAATAAAACTAAGTGTGATAGGTACCAATAAGAATTTTAAGCTTGTTAATAAGTGGTAACCTACATAAACTTACACTGTGTATATGCATATCATTCATATATCTAAATTTAACAAAATTTCAGAATATTGTCACTAAGAAGTACTACAGAAACCTTAAATTTAGAAAGGAGGCAAAATCTTTAATGAAAATGAATTAAAAACAAATATACATACATACTGTTTCCAAGTGTAAGACAAATCAACATAGGATGAAATAAAATACACACATGGTTATATTCAAAACTTAAAGAGATATAAAATTATTTGTTTAGCAAAATATGTGAACCCTTTCTTAGTTTAGTATAATTGTGTTAATTCTCTAACTCTTACCAGATAATATTTAAATCCCATCTCCTTCAACTATTCCATTCTGAAATTTTTCACATTTTCATGAAAAATATTTAGACCATAATAAAGTGCTTGTCTCATAGCATATAAATTATTCTGAGGAAAAAAAAAGATCAAAGAGTAATTTTTAAAATTTATGCTATTTCCTATTTTGTCATTACATCTTCCTTCATTTCATTCTGACACTTAGTCACATACTATTGGCCTATAACAAGAAAAGTTTCTTTAAAAAAAATGCCGCTACCCCCGATTACTGCTTATTTTCATGGTCAGCAGACTAATGTGAAATGTAGTAATATGTGAAATCTGGAAGCAACATGAAAATATTTAGCCACTGATGATGTGATAATCTCTAGCATATTAGAACAAGCCTACAAAACTGAGCTGGGAAAACAATGAAAATAACAACGATACTTATCAATCACAGAATAAAAAGCACAGGGACGCTCTGTGCCAAATCTTTAGATGCTAAAGTGAATGTATATAAATAGAAGCATCAGAAAGTAATGAAAAACTTCCTTTTTTATTTCTACCTCAATAGCAGTAGGACCTAAAGTACTCTACATAGCTCTTAGCAATTATCTTATCCATAACACAAACTAGGCTACCTTTTCAAGTGCTCAACTTATCTGAACCAAATACAGAGGACTAGTTTTCTAAAGCAATGAACCACAGTTTGAAATGAATACGAAGTTTCCAAGAACAGTATCCATATTCTTCAAAATTGGCAGAACACAGCAAAAGATATGTACCTTTTGCTTATAGTAGCAAAAAAGGATTACTTCTGGATATAAAGAAAAAACAATTATGATTTGTCAGAAGAAATCCTACTATGTATAAGGACCCCAAACAAACAAAACACTAAGGAATATCAGAATTAAAAATAAAAACACATTGGTAATATTTGGCAAGTGCTGGCGTGACGTTATTTGATAATTGTCTTCCATTTCCATTTCAATAAAAAATAAATACTTGTGCACATGATTAAGATTTGCACAAAAGACTTATTAGCCTTTTCTTTTTAAACACTCTACTCCTATCATGGTTTAGGTACAACTGACAGACTCATAGGAGACAATAGGTAACAAATGAAAATTTAGAATTCAATAAAAAATTCTTGCTGTCTTGTCAAGCTTTTCTCTTTTCCTTTCTCACAAGGGTTATGGATACCCAAGGAAGAATTTTCTTAAATTCTTCCAAAGACAGGATAAAATAGAAAATGTGTTATTAAATTATAATTAGAATTGTAAAATTAATACTTTTTTAAATAAAAAAAGATATTTAAAAATAGACTTGCAGTTTACACATTTCCGAGAACCTTCCAGCTAATAATATGACCATGATAATTACTTCAAGTCCATACTGTCAGAAGTATGGTATTCCTGTTTGAGGTTTTGCTGATGGAAAAATGCCTTCCCAAATTCATATGTACTGACCATAATGGCACAAGCAGGAGCAACTTTAATTAACCGGGGAATGAGTCCTGAAAAAAGAATAAGAAAATCAAGAGCACAATTTTTATCTTTCTTAATGATAAATAATCTTTTATTGGGTTATAATCTGACATTAGGTCATTTACTATGTGCAATATGAAGAATTCTGAGGAAAGATAAAAATCTAATGATTAACAACTCCTTTATATTATGCGGTATTCTTTTTAATTTTGAATAATTCATTAAATATTTATAGAATAATAAATCCCCTGCCCAATTAGTTATTAGAAACATAATATATGTTATCTAAATGATTTATTTGAACATTGATTCCTAATGTTTTAATTTATAAAAAACAGGAGGAAAAATAAATGTGGAAGATATTTTAAAAATTCTGGACTTGTAAATTTGATATTTACCTGCAAATAATCCAGAAATTCCATGTTTAGAAACAATCTGCTTCATGATGTCCCATGTTGATGTGGGTAGGGTGTGTAGATCTATATCTATAAATATTAAAATGAGAGAGAACACTGTTATGAAGTACTTACTCATTTCTTCTGTTTTAGCTATAAGGTTCAACAAATATTTGTTGTGCCTACAATGTACAAAGCACAGAGAATATAGGAAGACAGTCTGAAAGACTGAAGTGATATGTAAATGAATAAAAAAGCATTTATTAAGCACTTACTATGTGCAAAAAAAAAATTATTAATACTTATTGTGTGCAACGTAGATCAACTAGGTGGCGTTGTGGATAGAGTTCTGTGCCTAGAGACAGGAACAGTCATCTTCCCAAGTTCAAATCTGGCCTCAGATACTAGCTGTGTGACCCTGAGCCAGTCACTTAACCCTGTTTTCTTCAGTTCCTCATCTGTAAATTGAGCTGCAGATGGAAATGGCAAACCACTCCAGTATCTTTGCAAGAAAACCCCAGATGGGGTCACAATTGAGTTGAATATGACTGAAAAACAGCTGAATCACAACAAAATGTGCAAAGTACTATGCTAAGCCCTGGACATACAAGGAAAAAAGCAAGACAATCTGCTGTTTAGCAGCTCAGCTTCTAATAGAGGAAGACAATACATATACGAAGGTTCTGCAGTAGGGCAGATGGGAAAAGCTCAGGGATCCCAAGCTTTTATATTGATAAAGAAATCAATTAACTGTATTTCAATTAGTTAAGTTTATTATTTCAAATAGCCACTTAAAATTTTGTAATTTCAAATTCGGGACTTCTATAGTGAAAATAAGCCATAGAAAGATGTTAACTGTGATATTAAAGAATCTCTAGTGCCAAAAGTCTTGATTAATTTTCTATAACTTTCAATCTTAAAAATCATACAATCTCAGAACTGGAAAGGCCCTAAGAAACCATCTAATTCAATAAGTATCTGAACAAGAATACATTCTATTATAACTCTAGTATTTGTTCAGTCATCTTTTGAAGAGTTAAAGTGAAAGAAACCCTCATGAGGCAGCCACTGTGCTTCTGGATAACTTTAATCCTTAAGAAGTTATTACAGTGAACAACAGTGAAATAACAAATAACAGTGAAATGTTCCCCTTCTGCACCATCTACCCATTGCTCCTCCAGTCTGCTCTGGGGGACCAAGCACACAAGTCTAATCTTTCTTCCACAAGACTGCATTTCAGATGTTCTCTTTTCTAGACTAACTCCTCCAGTTCCTAAACCATCCTGATCACCGTCCTGTGGTTGCTCTCAATCTTGTCAATGTTCTTCCTGAAATATTGTACCAAGCAAATTAACTTCTTTTTGGATGTGGCCAAGAAAGGAATTTGTTTTGCTTGCCTACATATTTGTTACAAGGGTTTAGCTTGTCCTTTTCAATTGGGAGGAGGAAGAGTGGAGAGAGAAAAGATGGATGTTCATTACTGGGGAAAAAATAAGAAAATGTTGCTCCAAGAAATGAACACTTCAGCTGTACAGCTCAACAACTAAATTCCATGTTTTGGATGCTATGCTTCATAATATAGCCCAAGACTATACCAGTTTTTTGGCTGCCATGTATATTGAGCAAACTGTCTGTTAAAACCCCAAGATACTCTTCAAATGAACTGCCGACCAGACGTACTTCTCCCCATCATATATACTTCTGAAGATAATTTTTTAATCCATGTAAGATTTTATATTTTCCCCTATTAAATATTCTCTTATTTGGTCCATCATTTTAGTTTCTTAAGATGTTTTTGAATCATATCACCCAGCACATTCATTTCTTGCCTTATGAAAATTGTGATAAGCATGCCATCTACATTTTCATTCAAATCACTGCTAAAAATGTTGAAAAGAAGAAGGCCAAACAGGCCCTCACACAACCCTGACACTGCTCCATTAACAACTGTTTCATGGGTCTTTTTATTCAATCAGTTAAAATCTCATTAACTATAATACTATCTAGCCCAAATACCTCTATTTGGTCCAGAAAGATATGAAAGACTTGTTTATTAAGTATTTATTATTATTATGTGCCAAGTACATAGTGAAAGGGACCATAGGTTTACCAGGACAAAAATGAAATAGTTCCTACCCTCAAGAAACTTACATTCAATTGACAGAGACAACAGATACACACAAACACATACACAAAATAAATACAAGATAATTTGGAGGAGAGGGATCAGAAAATTCCTAAGTATGATACTTGAGCTGAACACTGAAGGAAAAGAGAACTTAACTTAAGCTACATAGGACAGAGGCACAGAGTCAGGAGGTGAAGCATCATGTTTGATAAACAGCAAGAAGGCCATATGGCCCAAAGTGAAATGGACTAACTTGGGAGGTCATGATTTTTCCCTCAGAGGTCTTTAAGCAATGGCTGGATACAGTTGCCAGTTATGTCATAGGAAGAAAAAAAATCCAGGTGCAGGTTTGGACTAAGATGGCCATGAGGCCCCTTTCAACTCTACATAGTCTATGTTTCTGTGACTGTAGAATTCAATAATAATAATCATAATCATTCTATAGTCACTACAGTGAGGCACTTAAATTATATGCAATACATGTTAGAAAAATTCCTATAAAAAATTTTAAACTAAAAAGTAACTTTCAATTGAAAAATTCACTTGCAGAAGAACTTCATTTTCTGAAGATGGTACATAAAAGAAACATTATTGTATGTGAAAGTGTTATTATGAAATATAGTAAACGTAATAAACCAATCGAATAGACCTAAAAAGGTTTTTAAAATAGGAAAATATATGTAGATTGTTCTCCTGGTTCTGCTCAATTCCTGAGGCCTTTTCTGGCTTGAAATTCTATGATTATAGAGAGGACATGTGATCTAATCAATTGGCAAAATCTTCCCCCCCCCCCCATATTCCTTCTAGGAACTAGAAGAAAAGAGTAATGGATAACATCTAAAGTCTAGTAAATAAGCTAGAGACTTTAACTTCTAATTAGGCTTTTTTATTTCATTAAAACATTAGCTTAAGTTTGTAAATTAATAATTAGAGTTTAGGTAATGAATGCTATAATTTTAAGAGCTGGTTTTTTTTTCCTTAATAGAAAACACCTAAAAAACTGGGTCATGTAATCTCTTTTAGATGCCTGGTCACAGATTCAGGGATAGAAGGGACCTCAGAAAGCTTGTTATGTATATAAATCCAAGGTGGCACCATCTAAGCGAGTAACAAGTTATTGGAATGATGGCTAAAAAGAAAAAATCCTGGCTTTGCAATGCCAAATATAATAAGTTACTAAGATCAGGGATTTTGGGGGGGGGGGGAGGAAATCCAAATTCTAGAAAGAGCAGTGTGGAAAGAAGCAAGAGTAATTGTTATTATTATTTTAACATAGGGCCATAATGAATGAAGATAAATGAATGAAGAAAACAATGAATGATAATGAATGAAGAAATGTGAAACAGATGAGTTTGGGCTACTTCACAATTTTACCTAGGGCCAATTTTGGTTAAACAGGTCCAGTTCTGGTTAGATAGGACCAAAAGTTTGAGTCTAGCACAACAAAGAGCAAGCTAAACAGAAGTAGGTATCAGAATATATCAATGTCTTCAAAAAAAAGACTGTAAATAGATTGCCCCAATTTACTTAATACCCAACTTATTTTCATGTGAACTATACTATACAGTGCTGATTGCTTATGGCAACATCATTTTTCTATATTGTAATTTTATTCTAGATCTTACAAAAAATAAAATAAAATAAATGAACAAAAACAACACCATAACATCCTAGAGTATGTAACTTGTAAGGGCATTTTTCCCTCTATCAAGTTTACTTTGAGGGATACACAAGTTTTGAAGAGCAAGAAGCAGCCATTAAACTAGTTATTTCCTAGCCTAAGAGAAATGCTGCTACCAGAAAGGATCTGTAGAGTCAATCAATAGGCTGCAGTCCTTCTGGAAGGGACCATATTTTTTAAAAGCAAAAAAAAATGGGCAGGAAAACACTATATACCAAGAAAGTGAAAGAAAGGAAAAATAAGGGGGAAAACCACTGAAGAGAACAAAGAGAGAAAATTTCCCTATATTTTCCCTTCCTCATATCTTGGTTTACCTATTGTTGATATTTTTAAAAATTAACATAGGAAAGAAAAGAAGAGAAGGTGGGGATATAAAAACAGAAAATGATAGAGAAAGATCATTAAAACCATTTTATATTTAGACCTCATGGATACTCTACTTGTAATCATTTCAAACACAAACATGGGATTTGCTTAATGAGAATTTTTAAAAATTAAAATTTAACATTTGTTTAGCGCCAACTGTGATTAATAAGACAAATAACAAAAAAGGAAATGTATTTAGCACATTAAACTATAATTTATCAGATAAGCATGTACAAATACAGTGGTAAGATCGACTGGAAAAGGGGGGAAAGAAAAGGCTAGGAGGTTCAAAGAAACTTCATGAAGAAAGAGCACCTAATCAAGGCCTTAAAAGATGAGAAGAATTTCAATAGGCAAAGATATTTGAGGAAAAAATATGCTAGTTTCTAAAATCTCAGAAATTTTTCCTCTAAAATCTCTTTCAGAATCACTTTTCTGAAAACTGAATCAGTATGAATTTCTGGGAAAAACTCATGAAAAGAAATAAGAAATTAAATTATTAAAGTCAGCAGAGGACAACAGAAGACATGTTTTTAAATTTCAAATTTCCTAACTAGGTTATTCTACATAATAGATTATATTCTTCAAATAGGAGAAGAGCAGAGAAAATCTTTAAGAAATAAACCTTTTTTAAAAATCAATTGAAAAAGTCACAAAACTTACCTTGAGGAGTTTCATATCTCCAAAGTCTGGTTTGTTTTTGTGTTTTTACAACATCAAATGGTAAAGTCACAACAGATGCAATCTATCAAAAAGTAAACACTAATTACTCTTTATCTTTAAATAATATATTAAGAGTAAACTTCCTGCTTGCCCCCAAACATCACAATTTGTATGATTACTGAACTATTTAGCATTAATATTAAGAAAATCCTATTTTCCTTGATTCCAGTGCTACAGATTAATTGAACATTTGGTGCAGATATGAGGTACAAGCATAAGGATTACTTCCTAATGAGAGACAATATGATATTACAGAAAAAAAAATATGTCAGACCTCTGGCAAGTGACAAACTCATTGAGTCTTTAAATGCAAAATGGAAATAACATTTGCACTTCCCACTTCATAAATATATAATATGGTTTAAAATGAATCAATCAACAAGCATTTATTAAGCACCTCCTAACGCGCCAGAATCGCTGGTGGTCTAGTCACTAAGATTCAGCACTTTCACCACTACCGCCCAGGTTCAACACCCAGTGAGGGAAGGCCTTTGGGCACCTACGTGGTACAGTGCACAGCGTGTCGGGCCTAAAGTCAGGAGGACTCATCTTCCTGAGTTCAAATCTGGCCTCAGATACTAGCTGTGTGACATTGGGCAAGTTTCTTAACCCTGTTTGCCTCAGTTTCCTCACCTGTAAAATGAGGTGGACAAGGACCATTCCAATATCTTTGCCAAGAAAACCCCAAATAGGGCCATAAAGAGACAGACACAGCTGAACAACAACAATGTGCCATAAACTATACTAGGCTCTAGAGATATAAATACAAAGACACGACAGTCCCTGTCCTCAAGGAGCTGGCTTACAATCTATTGGAGGATACATGTTCAGAGATAAGTCAATAGAAGATGTATACAAAATAAATATAAAGTGATTAAGAGGCACTAGTAAGCACTCAGGAAATCAGGATTGATAAATGAGATAATACCCGTGAAAGTACCAGTGACGTAAATATAAATTATTACTAACAGCTATCTACAGATACCAATGATCTCACAAGGCTCAAAAATGGGCTCCTCTGGGGCAGTTAGGTGGCGCAGTAGACTGGCCCTGGATTCAGGAGGACCTGAGTTCAAATACGGCCTCAGACCAAACACTTGACACTTACTAGCTGTGTGACCCTGGGCAAGTCCCTTAACTACCTGTGTGACCTCAGCCTCAGACAAGTCATTTAAACTCCCTGGCCCTCAGTTTCTTCATTTATAAAATGAAAGGGGTAGACTTGAATGCCTTTGAAATCCCCACCAGCTCGAAATCTATAACCCCATATAAGTTAGTCAAAAATTTGTCACAGATTGTCAATGTAAGATAGCCTTTTAAAGAAGCGTTTATTTTAGTATTTACATATATTTTACCATAGTTAAAGCATTTGATTTATTTCATTTAAACAGTATTGTAAATATTTCAGAAAAACATTTTTGATTAGCTTAATTTGTTGTTAGAAAAAAACATTTTAAATGTCTAGGAAAGCTACGTGACATGAGAAGGAGCATGATGCAACGACAGAGAATTAGCCTCTGAGTCAGGAAGACCTAGGTTCAAGTCTTGCCTCTGATTGTGAAAACTTCACTTGATTCACTGTGAAAACTATGGGCAAGTCACTTAACATTTCAGCCACCCAGGGAATTCCCTACAACCATTAGCTACAGAGGAACTGGTAATCTGCATCGTTAGAGGGAGTTTCCATACAAAGAGTTTTCTATGCCAATAAATTTTAAGATCAGACCTCTTCCCCCCATCAAAAAAAATTATATTTACACATTACTTCATTTAGTAGTTATATATACAATTTTAAATTATATAACCATCATTATTCTGAAATATTAATAACAGAAAAATGACTCACAGAACCAGACATTGCCCCTGCAGTAAAATTAATCACAAAAGTTGGCTCATGTTTGTCAGAGTTTTTGCAAAGCCACTTCTTAAACACTTCAAAGTTATACCAATACATTGCTGTGAAAACAGAAAAGAAATACTGAGAAGTGAAATATAAAATCTGGTATTACAAATTTATATTATGTTAATAAATGGAGAAAAAGAAAACTCTAACTCTGGGACAGACCCAACATAGGCCATTGACTATTTGCTTTCTGATCAGTTTTTCTCTGCTCAGGCACATTTTAGGTGTTATACAGAGGTGTCAAGAGTGAAAGTGAACCAGATTAAAATGTAATTGGGAAATATTTAACAAAACAATAAAAATCTAAATAATCCACACCATTTCCACAAAAATTCTACCTTATTTCTCCCTTTGTTAGAGGCACATACTCAAGAAATTATTTTTTCTTTTCTTTTTTTTTTAATTTAGCATCTTATTTTCCCCCAGTGACTCAAGGATTTCTTTATCAAAAACTATGTACTATGATTACTTTTCACTAATATTATAAGAGGAACATTAAAAAAAAATGGAAAGCTGTGTAATTATAGTGACCAACCTTGACTGAGGAAAAGAGTTAAGAAAATGCATCTCCCTCCTTTCACTGCAGGGATGGGAGAGACTATGGGTATGGAAATATTGTGTAACACACTATCAGATGCAGTTGATTTTTCAGTTGGATTCAGTTGAACTTTTTTAAAATCATTTTTACAAAGAAAGTCTAGATGTTAAAGGGACTGGGAAGAATTTATTCAGAAATTACATATGACTTATATGACTTAAAAACAAAACTTAAATGAAATATTAACAAAGGGAAAAAAAACAGGTAACTGGAGGGAAACATATAAGCAGCTGTTGGTTAACTTTCTGACTGGAAAAAAAAAGCAATTCTAGGGAAACTAAATGTAGTCCAACTTTTTTGGTCTCTTTCAGCTGAGACAACTTTGTTGTGACTGTGAAGGAAAACATACAAAGAGCTGTGATAGAGAGTTGCAATACAGTCAATTATGTGAGCTGAGGAGAACTGACGTATTCTTTCTGGTAAGGCAAAGCAGTTGAAGTGAACTTTAACTACATATAAATGCAAAGTTCAGAAGTACTTTCCAGAATGTTTCTAACTCCTAGAAAGGAGTCAGGATAAATTGCTACTTCAGTCTATGAGTTAAAATCGAAATCAGAATAAATTTGGTCATTGGTAACCTTTCAAGTTTAAAGACGGAAGAACTTAACTTGTTTCTGTACATCGTATCTTGAATTACATTTATTAGTTAATTTCTATGTTGTGATGGCAATTCGTAGCTATAGGCAGGTCTTCCTTTCTTCTATTTTCCCCTTTTCTCCCCCCCCAAAAAAAACCCCATAGAGCGTGGAAAAAGACTAGCTAAACTTAAGGATAACAAAAAACTTGGTAGCTAACGGTAATGAAATCATGATTTCGCAATGCATTACTGCTAAACCATACATAAACACACCATATAATAGGATGTGTTTTGAAAGGAGAATGATATGCAAGAACCGATAAATAATCTCCATATTTTAAAAAATTATTTTTCAAACTGTTAATAAATTCTTAGGTTCAGCTTAAGTTTTAGCCTCTGCTTCTTAAAATGTGGAAAAACTAGAGAGTTTAAAAATGTACAAGAAAACGGGAAAAGGTACTATGAAAAACACAACAGCTGAAATAAGGGAACGTAGAAGAGAAGTTTAGAGAAGTGATAATACTAGCAAGCATTTATGTACCTCTTTAAGGTTTTCAAAGCACTGTACACATTATCTTAATTGATCTTCACAACAACTGAAATGGAGGCTGAGAAGGGTTATGTGACTTGCCCAGGGTCACACAGCTAATATGTGATTGAGGCAGGATTTGAACCCAAGTGTTCTTGACTCAAATCCAGTGATCTATGCCACCAGCTGCCTCTGACAAATACATAATTTGTAAGTATATAAGAAGCTGCTGATTAATATTTTATTTTTCTACATAAGACTAGAAGACAGAAAGTAAAGTTAAATTGAAGACAGGTTTTATTAAACGTAAGATCTTACTGATTAAGATTAAGCAGTGGAATAAGCTGCAAAGAAGCATTGCCATAGCTCCTTTGGACACCTTTAAAAGAGATTAGATATCTGTTTGGGATGGGGATGGGATTGAGATACTTATGTTCAACTGATTTTAAATAATACAATTCTAAGACTAGATAGGTATTTTACATTTCAAAAGACTACATGTCAGTCAACACATATGAAAGAAGCAAGGAAAGAAAGCAATAGAGGAAAAGGATAAAAAAAGAGAGTAATAAAGAAGAAAAGGGGGAAAAGAAACAATAGGGAGGAAAAAGTATAATTTATTTAGCTCTTAGACAAGTAGAAATTGAGTGGTTTGACATTAAATACTATCCTCAATTACACAAAGAATGGTTACTTTGCACTAGTTTCTTTTCATTTTCATTCCTCAACAACTAGGATCCCCTTATTTGTGAGATATTTTCCTATGGATGGTCCATACAACAAGGCAAATTCATATAAATCAACTTTCAGTTATACTTGAAGATTCTATGGATAGCAGTGGTAAAAATAATGCCATTATCTACTTGAACTTCAAATTATTCATGGGTGATTTTAATGGGGGTTTTTTTGCAGCAGCAGTAGCACTAATTTACCTTACTAATTATGTTATGCTCAGACTAATATTAAAATAAGCTTACATCCACGGACTATAATTTGGTCAAATGTGAGTCAAATGGCAGACTAAAAGAGACAAAACTTGGATTATAAATATGCTGAATATAGGACCCCTCATTATTTATTCAAACACTATCAAATGTCTAGAAGCTCAGCAATGATTTTGGTATTTTGTAGGTGCAAAAGATGATAACACAGCCCTTAAGGAGCTTAAAAAATGATTCACTCACAAAGTGTACATATAAATAACCAAAAACAATCTAAAATTCAGCACAGATTAAAAAGGTAAATCCTACCTGAGAAAGGTACATCTCTCATAACAGTAGAACTCCAACCTCTCCAGAGTGAAATCCAACCATCATGTGATAATTTCCGTCTGACAAACAGATGTAATTCCTTACAAGACAATGCCTTGGATTGCATTTTGGTTCTAATCAACTCTAAGGGACTTATTACAGTTACTGCACCTACTGAAAATAATATACACATATATGTCAATATGCACATAAAAAACCATAATTTGATGTTTCACTTATGGCTAATAAAAGTTCCATATTTCTCGAGTTATGCCCAAATTTTAAGCCTAAAATATAAACTGCCACCATGGTTTTATAACTTTTTTAAAAATCACTACAGATTTTCCACGTATTGATGAGGCACTATTTTCTGAGATAGCATTTACAGAAATTCCCATGAGAGTCTGTTTCTTCTCTTTCCAATCTCCTATCCATTCAAGTATAATAAATATAACTTTACAAAGCCTAGGGCAAAAACCTCTTTCAAACCAGCACCCTTCAAACATCACTCTCATTACGGGTATATAAGCTACCTTGCCTCTCATTCAACTCTGAAAATCCATGTCTAGATGGAGAAGTATCTGGGGGTTCTAGCCTAGTCCAGAATCATCTTGGCTTCAAATGAGTCCTTGGAAGTTAGCACGATCTTAAAGCTGATATGAAACCATCCAAACACACAGAAGTCAACCAGTCTTGGGGTAACCTAAATTTGTACTTGATGCATTAGGTTCAATGAATTCTGGATCCATGTATTCAAAGGCTATGTCTTCAGAAGCAAAGCTAAGTTTGGCAAGGAACTTCTTGTTCTATGATAGATACTTCACGCCGTTGTGGAAGTGCATAACTGTTCATAAAAAGGACTTTTAATCCTGACTGCAGCAACGTAAATCAACGATTTATTGAATGCCCATTACATGCAATGCCCTGCATTGTATAATGTCTAAGGGGGCAGGGTATAACAGAAAACACGTTAGACCTGGAATCTGAGGCACTTCTATCTGTGAGCTCTAAGACCTTGAATAAACTGCTTCATCTCTGAGTTTCAGCTTCTGCACAGAGCTATTGTAAAGAAAAGCACTCTGTGCCAATGCTATTGGAATGATGCTGGTATTATTTACTCTACCAGAGATGTGCAAATAAAGTAACAACACTACAAATTGAAATTTAAAAATAACATAATAGACTTATGACTCACATCTTGCCACAATTCCAGCAAAAATTGGTATGAAGGCTTCATTTTCCACTTTAGACTTCATAAATAAAGATAATTGGTCATAACAAGTAAAATATATAACTGTAGCAGGAACTGCCATTACTCTGAAAGAGATAGATCAATTAAGAATACAAAGACCAGAAGAAAGCATAGTGCATGCTCCAAAACAAAGCTATACTACTCACTATAAGAGTAAGCTAAATTAGATTAAATCTAAAACCCTTAAACTTTGTTTTGGTTGAAGATTGTAGCAAAGTACTCTAAAGCAGCAATTTTCAAACTTTTCTGGCCTATCTTGTTCACCTCTTCAATAAGGCAAACAACCTATCCCATACAAACCTACTTTTAGGGAGGAAAGAAAAATCAAAATACCTTAGGCAAGAGCTAAAGAGATACTGGGTGTCACACTTGAAAGGACACCAAGTTATGTTTTTAATTAAATACTGCATGTTATTCAAACCAAGAACCAAGGCATAGACACTCTCATCTTATAAACACGGAAAATAAATTTATCATATAAGACTATATAAACTACCTAAAACACTATGTGGTACTTAAAAGACCTCAATGATAACATTTTGAGGGGAAAAAAGCAATCTATAATGAGATCTAATGGAAAGAATAATAGTTGAGTGACATGGGTGCTAGTCTTGGCATCAGTTAATAACTTTGTGCAAATCACCTACCCTTTGTGCCACAAACAAAATTTTATCCTGTCACTTCAAAGGAATGGCTTTGTAGATACAATAATTCTTTGCTACATAAAGTCAGATTATAATTTTATCATTAAAACCTACTTTACTAGTTGACATATTAACTCATATACTACAACAGCTATTTTGTGAAATTTTAAGAGAATGAAAGCTATTTGAACAGGAAATGCAAATCATAATACAGTTCATATTATATACATTTCTCAGTTCTTCAGTATGAGGGGCAAGTCAACCTAGAGAATCAGTAATACTTTTTTTTAAATGAAATAAAGCAATAATGTTACTAAAATACATCAGCCCATTTTGCTGTTGTAACATCATACATAGACACAACACAGGTAGTATAAAAAATCAAATTCCAACTCACAGTGTAGGGGGAAGACCACTCCATAAGGATTTTATACCCTCATTTCGAATAATTTTCAAAAAGGCATCCTAAAACATAATTGGAAAAAAAATGACAAATCATGTTCTTCTGAACGTACTGCCATATAGATTTGGTAGTCATTTTTGTTAATCTACTTTGTAATTTTAATTATTTTTTTAACCTCATGTTAGAAAACCCATCTACCTCTGTAACATATACAAAGAACACTGAGCCAATATTAGGAAGATCTGAGTCTGAGTCCTGACTTTGCCACTTTTACGCTGTATTACCTGTATGTCAAGTCAGTTCCCCTCAATTAACTACTTCCACTGTAACTTGAAACTGAACTAATTGATTACTAAGACCTTTGCCACTCTAACAATCTGCTATTCTGACTCATTACGCATTTAGATTTAGAAAAAGTAGTTCTCTCTCAACATCAAAAAGCAAAATGACTTTTCTTTTTACCAGAATCAATTCCAGCCTTAGACTTATTTGTATAGCAGTACAACTCTGGGATTCCCAAACTGAAGTCCTTGTAAAGCTATGCAAGATAAATTACAAACTGAAATGTCATTATTACATATACATTACTACATATGTATGTATGCACATATAAACATACATATGCACATACATACACACACGTGTGTATATAAACAGACCCAATTCTTCAAATCATTGTTGCCTACTGCCCCAAAAAACTTCTAACTTTCTAAACTTCAGAATGTGTTTCACTTCTTTCCCTGTCTATCTATTTCACTACTTCATAGTATCCTTGGTGACACTACTTATATTATCTACATTTTTAATCAATTGTGCGATGGTAAAGATGAGGTCTACTTAGAATACTACTTTTGAAAGTTCCCCCTTTCTCTATTAATATCCTTGTTAAGCATGTCTTTCATGCTTCTGCAGATCATTGTAAAAAAAATTACTGATGGGAAAGTAAGAATACAGGTCTGCGGTATTAATTAATGAACACTGGCACAAAATTATCATATACAAACTGCCAAGAATAAGCAATATATCAAGGACTTAAGGGTCAGAAGACTTAAGTTTGAATTCTTCCTCACTAGTTGTATGACTGGGCAACTCAGAATCTCTCTCAGTCTCAGTCTCTTCATGTGGAATATAGGAATAATAACAGCACCTACTTCAAAAGGGTTGTTGCGAGGATGAAATAACTATAAAACACTTTGTAAATCTTAAAGTGCTCTATTATTACCACCAATAATTATTTTTATGATCAAATATTATTCATTCCAGAATTACAAGGACAGTTTAATATTAGAAAAATAGTAAGCTTAGTATCTTACTAGTAAAAAAACCCCATAAATTATCTTAAGGAAAAGCAGTTGACAGAAACACATTTTAAAAGAGGACTTTTCTTTGATAAGACAAAAAAGAATTTGAAACAAAAAAACAGCATTAAATATAATGGACAAATAGTAGATAATATCCCACAATGAATATTAAAATAGGAATGCCTACACTTAGCATTCTCATTCTACATCATAATCTTTGAAATATTATGACAAGAAAAAATACTGAGGGACTAGGCATAGCCAAAGGAGAGATTAAAATATTTCCAATATGTAGATCATGTGGTGGCTATTTAGAATCCCCAACAATCAGCAAAAAAAAAAAAAGAAGATAATAAATGGCTTCAGCAAAATAACAATATATAAGGCCAACTGACAAAAATAATCAATTTTTATCACTAACAAAAAAAAGAAAAGAAACTGAAAAACAAGCACCATTTACAATAATGATAAAATATGCCAAATGACTGGGCATTAATGTAACAAGACACATAAAACCCAGAGAAAATCAATGATAAAGCAATTTTAACAAAAAATTTTAAGAGTCAAGTGGAGAATTATTCCATATCATGGCTAGGTCAAACCAATATATTAAAGGTGGCAATACTGCTCAAATTGATTCACACATACCATAGTAACCCAAATGCCAATGGGATAGAAACAGAAAAGGAGAATGGAGAAAACAGCCACCAAGCCAGATACCAGGAGAAGTAGCTACAGAAATAAGAATTGTGGTTGAAGAGCTTATAGGAAAAATTAATAAAAAACTTGAGATGTTTATGGTCAGACAAAACATGGCTAAAAAGCAAGGTGAATTAGAGAGCTTATCACAAAGAAAAGAATCTGAACTCAGACACCACAGACTCAATGGGATTAGACCATGATTGACCTATGGTTCTGTAAGTACATATTTTAGTCAAAAGAAGTAGGATATGTAAAAAGGATGATGGAGGGGGAAGCATTGGTAGGTATTTGTGGGAGGAAATCCAGGAACTATATGGATATCATTTAGGTGAAAATCAATAGAGGCAGAAAGAGAACTCATATACCATCAGAGTATACTAAAAGATCGAACAAACAGAAAAAGAAAATGAGTTCAGAGAACAAATTTGGCATGAAGTATATAGTATTGATGGGAGACTTCAATTATATGGACATCACTGGAGGGGAGGAAGGGAGTTATGTTAAAAAAAATAAAACTAACAATTTCTTAAGTTTTAATTCTTTAAAAGGTGATAACATGGAGAAAGTTCATTCTGAATTTGACCTCAAATTAATTGCTAGGGTGTAAATGATGGGAATGTTGGGGATAAGTTTGTGAAAAAGGTAAGGAACAGCAGAAACAGTCTGACATGCACAGATTTTATTAGATCACATTTAAAAGAATTTAAAGGAAGGATAGCTAGATAGATAAAGCCAGATTCATTTATTAAGCACCAGGCACACTGTTATATACTGGGAACAGAAATAAAAGAAAAGAAAATGTAGATCATGTATGTTTACATTCATGTAGCTTACATTCCAACGGGGAAGACAACACAAAAAGATGAACCATAGAGAGAAGCAGAAGAGTGCCCACATAGGGCAAGGCAGGTGGTGAGAAGGAAGAAAAGATATCTAGAAAGTGAGTTGAACTCATGTGTCAAGTGCATCTAGAACCCCTCCCACACAGTGGCCTGGGAAGGAAGAATTCAATGATCAAAAGGGGTTAAGAACAGAAAGTTCTCAAAAGAATCACACCTTTTCAATAACCACTTGAAAAATTGTTCAAACTCAAAGTCTAATAAGTTAAGGCATATTTATCAACCCACTAACAAGCATTTGTTAATTGCTTACTATGGGTCAGGCATTGTGCAAGGCACAGGGAATAACAAGACTAAAATTAAACAGTTTTTAACCTCACAGAGCTTACATTTTATAGGGGAAACAGCCTACACAAGAATATATATATAGATATAGATATGTGTATGTATGTATACACACACACACACATCCCATCAAAACAAATACAAGGGAATTTGGGGGGGGGGGTGGAATGAGGAAAGGAGGCACTACCAGTTAAGAAGAGAGTATCAGAAAAGGTCTTACATAGGAGCAAGGGGCACTTCAACCGAGCTTTGAAGGAACCTAGGAATTCTAAGAGGTGGAAATAAGGAGGGAATGAATGTATTCCTTGCCTGTGAAAAGGTAGAGATGGGAGAAAGACATCATTCCATTACATTCATATACAACAATTTGTTCAGTTATTCCCAATCAATGGCTATCCATTTTGTTTGCATTTCACTTTTTTTTTTGTTACCATAAAGAATGCTTCTATTCATATCTGTTTTATAAAGGGCTTAAAGAATGGAATGGTACAAGGAACTCCCTCTGCCTATGCAGGTTTATACCTTCTCTACAAGTTGCAGTCACGGGGAGCTGCCTAATCCAATGAGAAGTTAAGTGACTTGCTCAGGATCACATAGACAGTATGTATCAGGGGCAGGACTTCACTCAAGGTCTTCCTGAGGCCAGCTATCTGTGTGTTATACTGCAGTGATTCTTCTTTATTATACACAAAACCTTTTTTTCTGCTTTTGATCTCCTTAATGTAAATGCCCAGAGAATGGTTATCACTGGGGGGGTTAAAAAATATGAACAGTTTAGTGACTTTCTCCATATAATTCCAAATTGCTCTACAGAATGGTTGGAACACTCCACAGCTCTATCAGAATATTAGTATGCCTTTACTACCAGGACCTCCCCAATACTTTTTCCTTCTTTTATCACCTTTGCCACTTTTATAGGTGTGAAGTGAAACCTCAGAGTTACTTCAATTTGCATCGTTCTCATTACTGACAGGAAACAATCTTTGCAATTGTAGACGAACATGTACATTTCTCCTACTGAAAGGTATTTGTATATCTGACTACTTATCTAGTGGGAAAGGTACCATGAGATTACAGGTTTCCAGCTGGAAGGGTCCTCAGTTGTGCTGTGTCCAACTATATATATTTTGTAAAATCTTTGAAGGTTGGGATTATGTTTAATGATTTGCCTACATAGCTGTGGGTGGGATGAGGGGCAAAGGAAACAAACTTGCAAAGGAGCTCACAAAGGGGGCATAAAAGCAGGTAAGAGCAGTCACTGGCCTGCATGTTATAATTAGGTCATAATTCTTAGGTTTCTGAGCTCTGCTTCACTTTAATATGGGTGTATGACATAAATGAATTTCTTAGTTTGGATTTGTGCTTTCATTTGTACACCAAACCCCCTGATGTGGAAACCTCCAGTACTAATGCAGATCTGCAACTTATTCTACCATTTAAAAGTCCTGAGAGAGCTGTTGGGGTATTGAAAGGTTAAGGGACTCGCCTAGGGTCAAGCTGCCCGTATGTTATCAGAGATGAGCCTTGAATTCCAGTTTCCTGACACTGAGGACAGCTATCCACTACTACTATCCACTACTACTCCATGCTGCCCCTAAGAATTTATGACAATTCCATAAATTATTCACATTGCAAAGACCTTAAAATCACAAAACTATAGAATCACAGAATGTTAGTGCTAGAAAGGACACTGGAGATTATGTAGTCCAACCTCCTTAATTTACAGATGAGGAAACTAAGGTTTAGAGAGAACAAACGAATTTCATCAGTGGGAATCAAATCTGAGTGAAGGGAAAGGACGAAAAGGTATTCAGGTCATTCTCCCTGTCCTTAATTTTTACAACTCCTTGCTTTTTCTCTTCTTTGTGAGAATGGGCAGCATCACTTTTCAAACTTCATTCTGGCCTAAGCAAGACTTACATATTACCCAAAACAAATAATGGAAGAGAAATAAAACCATCTTCAAGCAATAGGATGCATATGGAAAAACCATCAACCGAGCAAAGAATGTAAATAAGGAATGAACAGAAAAGCATTTAGGATCACAGACCTCAGGCTAGAGGAGACCTCAAAGGCCATAGAGTCCAACCCCTTCATTTTAGAGATGAGAAATTTGAGGTCCAAGAATCTAAGTAACTTGTCTAACATCACACAGGCAGTGGAAGAGATTTTGTGGTCCTTTCTAACTTCCACTAAATTATAACTAAGAACTGATGCTATAAAGAGACTTTACATTACTGCATAGGACTTAAAAATGGAAAATTATGATTTAGTGCAATTTCCTTACCAATGTTCCTCTGAAGCGGCCAGGCTTCTTGTACCATGCTTTGTTGCTACCCTCGTCACAGAAATATAGATGATCCATCAGTCCATTACAATATAAAAAACATCTTCCTAATGAAAAATACCAGAAGTCATTTCAAATAATGGCATTCCCTTTATTGATATGCACCCTGAAAGTTTACTTGCTGATCTTGAAAATTAACCCCTGATCAGAGAATCACAGAATGTCAGAACTGTAAAAGATCCTAGAGAACATCTAGCTGTAGTATATTTGAACAAGGAAAGCCTCTACATTAGAGCTAACAGATGGTCATTCAGTTTTCACTTAGAGATCTTCAGTGAGGGAGAGCCCACTGCCTCTTAGTCCAAGTAGAACATGTCTTACTCCTAGTACACAGCTCTTCAACTAGCTGAAGGTAGCTAGCATGGCCTCTTTTCTCCACTATGAATATTCCCAGTCTCTTTCACCAATCCTTTCACCATTCTGGTTATTGCCCACTTGACAATTGAGCTAATCATCTAGAACTGAACACAATATGGCATCCACATATGGTCTGAATAGGGAGAATCAGGGCAGGATGACCCTCTCCATGGTCCTGGACACCAGGTGTCTCTTAAAGCAGCCTAAGATCACATTACCTTTTTTGGGTTGCCGTATGACAATGTTTGTGTATATTGGGCTTGCAGACTACTAAAATGCATGGGTCTTTTTCAGACTGTTATCTAGCTGTACCTACCCCAGCCTGAATTGGGGTTATAAAATCAACTTCACAAGTATAAGACTTTGCATTTACCTCTATTAAATTTCATTTTTTTGAAAGGCAGTGTGGCAAAGTGGAGAAAAAGCTAGCCTCTGGGCCAAGAAGACCTGGGGGTTCATGACCACTTTCTGACACCCACAGGTTCTGTGATCTGGAGAAAGTCCCTGAGCCTCACAATTTTCTAGGCAACTCTACAAGACTGTAAGCTTCAAGAAGGCATTGACCTGTACTAGTAGGAAGAGATTTCCTTGTGCCAATGAAATCAAAAGTCCAATCCCTATCTTTTACCTTAAATTTCATCTTATTAGGTTTGGCCTATCATTCTAGCATGGTTTTGGATCTTGACACTGTTAACTATTGGCTATTCCCTACTACCTACCTTTGCATGAAATCTAACAAGTATTCCACTTATTACTTTATCTAAATCACTGATAAAAATGGCCAACAGTATGGGGTCAAACTCAGGTCTCACAGTCACTCTACCAGAGATCTCTTCTAAATGCTTATGATTCTCTTGACTTGGTCAGTTTTGATTTCACTTAACTGTACCACAGTGTAGCCCACATCTTTTCTACAGGAATAATATGAGATATTTTTCAAATGTTTCATCAACATCTAGGTAAACAAATTCCATAATTTTTCTGATCTGCTAGTTTAGTAACCCTATCAAAAAGGAAAATGAGGTTAGTATTAAATGTCATGTTCTTGATAAATCCATGCTTGTTCTTTGTGATCACTACTTATTTGGTCAGGAAGAAAAGTGAAGCTCACTGGCCTATGGTTTCAGACTTTATTCTCTTCCCTCTTTTGGAAAACTGGGACATTCACCCTTCTTCAGTCCTACAGTACTGTCTTCCATTTTCTATCTTCTTTCAAAGATCACTGTGCCAGTTCTCTTAGTGAGAATGTAGTTCATCTGACACAGCCACTCAAAACTCACTAAGGGCACAAGAGATAGTCTCTTACCATCTTCCCTACTTAACTTGGGCACTGATGTCCTATTAGCCACTTATTTCTGTATACTCTAATTTAATGATTACTTTCCCTGGAATAAAAAAGAGAAGCAAAATAAGAGTTGAACAACTCTCCCTTCCTTCTGCTCTTATCATTGTCCCTTCCATGCCACGCATTGTTCCTATCTCTTCCTTGATCATCTTCTTTTCCCTAACATATCTAAAACCAAAAAAAGTTTTTTTGGTCAGCCTTAGCATTTCTTGTCTGCCTCACTTCATTCTAAGCTTTAGCACCCTTGGATGATTCTTAAAGGACTATACCTACATTTTCCTAAAGTTTCAGTCTGACCATGTCATTTCCTTGCTCAAGAATCAAGTAAAATATAAATTCCTCAGCTTGGCATTTAAAGCCCTTCACAATCTGGACACCTTTCACATTACTCTCTTCATATACTTTATAATTATATTCAGATTGGCTTACTTGCTGTTCCCAGACCTGGCAACCTCCCAATCCAATCTAATCAGAATTTATTAAGATCTTTCACGTATAAGGCACTGTACCACGTGCAGGGGAAGCAAAGGCAAAAAGGAGAACAAAAATTGACCTCTAGGAACTTATATTTTACTGGGAAGAGGGAAAATAAAATATGTAAACATAAGTTCCTATACACAAATGATCTGAGGAAGGAGAGGCTAGGGAAAGATCAGGACAGAATTCCCATAGGAGTCCCCTCCAAGCTAAGAACTCTGAAGAAAGCTAAAGATCTTAGGAGGTAACGATAAAGAAGGAATGCATTTCAGGTAAAAAGGGCATCCTGTGCAAAGTTAGAGGCAGGTGACAGAATGCCAAGTACAGGAAATGGCAAGAAAGTCATTTTGGCTAGATCACAGAGTGCACAAAGGGCATAATAATCAAGCCTGGAAAAGAAACAATTCAGTGCAGTAACCCAATGCTCAAAAAGACCAAGATCAGGGGTAAAGGATTCAAACCCACAGACTCCACAATCAGGAGCTTCAAATCCAGTATTTTTTCCACCTGCACCATGTTTCACTCCGGAACTAATGTTAGCCTCTAATCCTCAATTAGGAGTATTCTAGGATCATCATAACAACTCACTTGCAGATTTATAAGGCACTTTGTTCACAACAATTCTGTGAAGTGGGTTACTACAGTTATTTGTTGTGGTTGAGTTATTATGAATATAAACTAATGGGGAAATGACTCCCTATTTGATAACAACTACTAGGAAAACTGGAAAGTATTTTGACAAAAATTAGGGTGAGATCAATTATCTTGAACCATATACTACAAAAAGTTTCAAAGGGATGCATTTCCTAAAATAAAATGCCAAATCATTTTTAAAAAACATTAGGTAGAAACTGAAGGAACTTTCACAACTTCAGCTGGGTAAAAATTCTTACCCAAATAAGGCTAGAGAAAAAAAGACTATGTAAAGGATAAAACAGACAATTTTTATTACTTCAAATTAAAAGGCTTTGGAATGAACAAAATTAATACATCTGGAAGAAACCATAAGTAGATGAACAATCTTTACATCAGATATCTCTGATAAAATTCTGATATCCATGATATATAAAGAAGTGAACCAAATATATAATAAAGAGTTATTCCCCAGTAGATAAGCGGTAAAAGGATATGAATGAATGGTTTTCAAAAGAAGAACTGCAAACCATCAACAATCATGTGAAAGATAGTTCCAAGTCATTAAAAATATGAGAATGTAAATTAAAACTTTTTCCTTACATTTAAGATGAGCAAAAATGGTTATAGTCAATGCTGGGGAGTTAGGTACACAAATGTATTGTTATCACAATTGTGAATTTGTTCTGGATAGCAATTGATCCAAAAATTTAGAATTAAGTCAGAGATGTGGCAAGTGGCAATTCCAGTGCAGCACATAAACTCCAAAAGACTAAAGACAGAAAGGCCCTTTTATGTTAAAATATTCATCCTATTTTGGGAAGCAAAAGACTAGAGAAAAAGCAAGTATTCATCAGGAAATTACTAATAATTGTTGTATATGAACATAAAGTAATTACCATTGAGCCATAAAAACAACAAATGCAAGGAATTTAGGGAACTCTAACACAAAATAAAGTAAGCAGAAAGGAAGAACAAAATACAGTATATCATAAATGAAAAGAGCACTAAAAGGAAGCTGAACTCTGATGACCTTTAAGGTACTTTCTCACCTTTTATGTTTTAAGGTCATTTCCACCTCTAAACTGATGAACCTAGAAGATTACAGGCCAGTGAATAAAGGTGAACAGATTTAAGATTTAACAGATTTGTTGAGGTTAAAAACACAAAACAAAACAAAACACTATATATAGAAACCAGAGTTTTGAAGTTACCATTTAAAAATGAAAAAAGTCATAGCTTCCAAAGAAGATGGGAGAGTATGGCATCAAGTGAAGGAGCTAAGAGGGCTGTACTTAGAAAAGGGAAAGACCACCTCTTTGTAAAGAGACAAATGAAGAGAAAATGAGGGATGATGTAGATGGATTTTAAAGCCCATGATAGAAGACAATAGCAATATCTAGACAGATGATTTCCATTTCTTTGGTAAACTCCAGAGAGAAAGAGGAAAAGGAATAATATAAGAAAATGAGAAGAGAAAACATAGAACAGCTATTATCAGCATCTGACAGTCAATTAGGAAAGAATAAAAGGATTATTATGAAGCATTGAGGGCTCAGCTGAGAGTAGGTGACATATTTGCAGTGGACCTAATCACAGCATGGTTGTATGAATTTCTCTAGATATATTCAAGAGCATTCAAGTAAAAATGGAAAAGGTGGATAGTAGAGAAATTCCAGCACAACAGCTTGGCAAGGCCTTAGTGATAATAGGAGAAGGAACAAGGAGTTTGAATAAAGGACAATACATAGTCAAACTGAGTAACATAGGATAAAGCCTGCAAAGGATAGAGTGACCTGAGTTTAGTGGGGATGAGTAAGTGGAGGAGTTTCTAACCTTTTCTGTGTCACAAACACCTTTGGTGGCCTGGTTATGCCTATCTATCCATTCTCAGAGTAATACTTTTAAATACATGAAATAAAATAAACAGCACTGTAAAGGAAGCTTCCTTTGTATCTTTACCAAGATATATTGAGGTGCCCAAATAAGAAGGAAGAGTTATGGTAAGGAAAAAGACAGTACTTAAAAATCAACTCTCAGTACAAGGTGCCATATAATAATAAAAGTAGCAATAATTAAAAAAAAGTTATTTATATAGCACATAAAACTTTTAGTTTTGAAAAGCACTTAATAAATATTACCTCATTTAATCCTCCCAACAAACTTGAAAGAAAGGTGCTATTATTCCCACTTTACAACTGAAAAAACTGAAGCAGACTTAGGTTAAGTGATCTGCCCAGAGCCACCTAACTAGTTAAGTATCTGAGGTTTGTTTTGAATTTAGATCTTTCTGGCTCCAGGTCCAGCATTCTATCCATTACGCCACTTAGTTTATAAGACCTTTGGGATTATAACAATGAGGAAACTTTACTAAAGCCAAGAAAAAAAGGAACACTGTATACATACAAATGAATATGGTACAATTAAAAATCACATAACCTTTACATATAACTTTAAAATTGTACATACTTTTGGGGTAAGGGTTGTTCTGAACTTGGAGACGAATTTTAACAACATCCAAAGGTGTCACTATAAAAAAACACACAAAATGGCAATTAGAGGGCTACATAATGCCTTTAATTAACTACAAATTCTTCTCGAGGAACACAAAATATAGCACCACAAATCATTAATTTTTACAAGATTTCTATAAAACATGATTTTTTTTTTTTTGGTGAGGCAGTGGGGTAAAGTGACTCATCCAGGATTACACAGCTAGTAACTGTCAAGTGTCTGAGGCCAAATTTAAACTCAGGTCTTCCTGAATCCAGGGCCAGTGGTCTATCCACTGCGACATCTAGCTGCGCCCAAACATCAATTTTAAAAAAAATCTCCTCTCAGAAGTCTTTTGCTTCTGAATAGCATTTAATTTGTATCATTTAGAATCTTTTTCAAAGAGAAGCACAGAGAAAAACTAAGGCGAGATTCTCTTGCCAATACTAAACTGTACTCTAAAATAGTATTTCCTCAAATGCAGTACTGATTCTAAATAACACCTCCTTAGTATCTAAAACTAGACTATTAGTACACTGTATTTGGAAAAAAAAGTTCTTAAAAACAATAAAATGAAAGCTTTCACAATTCTGCTCAAATATTCAAGTCACAACTTCATTCAAAATTTATTAAGCATTTCCCTAGTTTTTAATTAAGATTAATAATAATATTATTATAAAATAACAAGTTATGGCAAAGAGAAAAATAATTTAAAATGAACAGTTAGAAAATAATTCTACCACCAGACTGTGCTATTACATTTGTGAAAATTGTGGCAGGAGAATCTTAAATCAGTACAGTATCGTCAGGTTCAAGGATAAATAACCACATCAAAAGTCAGGCAGTTGTCATTAAGAACGCACATCACAAATATTTGTGCTTGCTTTTATCTGAGATATGTTTTAAACAAATTAAATTACTATTAAATTCTATTTATTAAAATACTATTCTTTGGCCAAAACATGTTTGTCATTGTGGACCAAATGGTTTAAAAAACTACTCTGTACCAATGCAAACAAATAATATTGCATGTAATTGCTAACTACTATGAATGACATTCTTATACCATGAGTATTTACTTATCTGTCATTATACAATCAGAAATTTAGAACCATAAAAGATGGTAAAAAGAAGGTAAAAATAAAGGATAAGGTGATTCAGAATTTGCATGGTACAGCACTGACAAGTGCTAAACTTGACAGTCACAAAGACCTGGGTTTAAATCTTACCTTAGGAACTTATCAGTGATATGACCCAGGAAGTCATTTAACTTCTCAGTTTCCTCATCTATAAAATGAGGGGGTTAAACTTAGATCAAGCTCTAAGCTGATGATGCTATGATTAAGTTCCAAAGCTAAGACATCACCTCTTCATCCTTTCATTTTCCAAAACATTTTGACTATTACTCTTATGCACTTATCCCACTTCATTTTCAAAATTATTCGTGTACAGATTTTATTTGTCCTACATGGTATTAAGTTCCTGGAGAACAAACATATGTATTTTTTCTTAATGTTTAATTGAATTAGCAGTATCATTGATCATTAATTTCTGTTTTTTCTCACAATTTTATTTTTAAAATTGTTTTTAGCTTTTTATTTATTTTTCAAGTACCGAGTATATTACTGATATCTATATCAACCCTATACAAGAGGTACTTAGTAGCACCAAGTTTCCCTATCTCCCATTTAATAATCTTTTCACAAAGTTACATAAATTCTAAAAGTTTGAATTTGTTGATTCTTTTTACCCATTAGTGATGTAAGAATAGCTCCAGTACATGAGGCAATCATTTGCTGCAAAGGTGTCACTCTGGGAAACTCTTGTCCTGTATGTTCGGCATCCATATTGTTAATACCTGGTAAGAAAAACTAAACATGCCCCCCCCATTAATGGAAAACCAGCAAAACTTACAACTATAAAATTTAAACAGTAGACAACATGTAAATACCAACACATTTTAAACATTTTAGGATACTAACATCAAATGCTTTGATAATAATAAAGAGTACATATAAATTCATTGTCATCAAGAAATGAACAAGATATATATGAAGTCAAGACTACTGAACCAACAGAACATACTTTTTTCTAGTAGTGATAAGATCTGCGCTGGTCATTGTAACCAAGGGCACACATTTCTTCTGGTAAGGAATGGTAAATGTAACATACTACATACTGTATCTTGTGTCTTATTAGTAAGATGTTGTAACCAGTCATATGTTATTAGCAAATACTGTATTTTCATGTGACTAAAAAAATGGGTGTTAAGGATGAAGGGCACATATCATCAAAATATATATATCTTCTTCCAAAGATACTAAGTTTCTATGAAATTTTAAAAACATTTACTATTAGTTCAAATTATATGCCAGGTTTGTGTCCTCACAAAAATTAGAAATTATAGAGATCATCAAGTTCAACCTCTTCATTTTACAGAACAGAAAGCTGTATCCCAGAAAGATTAAATGATCTGTCTGTCTCACGTGGCTCATTAATGCCAGAGCAAGAACTAGAACTCAGGTCTCTATGACTCTTGCTTCAGAGATCTGTCCATTGCAGCAAGCTGGTCCTGATCTTCCTACATTAAACAGTCCCCTGGACAAACAGGAAGACCGGACTCTTGAGGATCCTAAGATTGCCAAGAAACCCACTAGACAACATAGTTCAGCATTGTCTCCAAAGCTACCAATGACCTTTTAATTACTAAATCCAAAAGCCTTTTCTCAGTACTGATTCCACTTGATTTCTCTTCAAAATTTGACATTATCAAGGACCATCTCATCCTGGAAACTCAACAGCAAATTTTCTGTGACTCGGTTCTCTTCTGGTTCTCTTCCTGTTTGTCTAACTTCTCCTGATTCTCCTTTGCTGGTTCATCTATCTACACCACACTAGTGACATCCCAAGGCTCTGTCCTGTCCTCTCATCTATTTTTACTCTACACTAGTTTGCTTGGTGATCTCATTAGCTCCATAGGTTCAATTATGTCAATGCATATAATTTCCAGACCTATATATTCAACCCTAATCCCTCTGCTGAGCTGAGTCACACATCTCTCTCTGCCTTTTGAACGTGTCAAACTGGATATCATGCAGCCATATCAAATTCAATATATCCAAAACAGAATTCATTATCTTTCCCAAAAACCTTCTCTCTTTCTGAACTCCCATATTACTGCCAAAATTACATCATCTCTTAACCTTCTTGCAACCTCAGCATCATACTCAAATCCACACTCACATTCACCTGTTTGTTGTTCAGTCATGTAATTTCTACCTTGTCAATGTCTCTCATATATATTCCCTTCTCTCCCCACTCATAAAGAAACAGTCCTAGTTCAGGCCCAACACCTTTCACCTAGATCACTGCAATAAGACTTCTAACTTGGTCTCCCTGTAACAAGTCACTCTCTATTCGAATCCATCCTCCACTCACTAAAGCATAAACAATCATGTCACAACTGTCCCCAGCAAATGAGCTTAAATGGCTTTCTATATAACCTACAGATCAAATAATAAGTCCTCTAGTTGACATTTAAAGCTCTTCATAATCTGATCCCTTTCTACCTTTCATAACCTTCTTACATCTGACTCATTTCCAGGTACTCTACAATCCAATTACATTGGCCTACTTCCAGCTCCTCAAATAGTAACAACAACAATAATATTTATGTAAAACAGGACAGACACTCCAAATCCTATCTTATTTTCTTTCCACAGGCCTGGAATTTCAGTCCCCTCAGCTGCTAAAACCTTTCCCTTTCAGATTATCTTTATCTATTCTGCATATATCTTGTATGTACCTAGTTATTCACATGTTGTCTTCCCAACTAGAATGTAAGTTCTCTGCAGGTAGGCTCTATATTTTGCTTCTTTTGTTGTTGTTGTACCCCCAGAACTTAGCATAGTACCTGGAACACAGGAAGCACTTAATAACTGCTTGATGACCGGACTGACATGAGTCAACACATGCAGCAGACAGACTCTAGTCTGCTGTATAGTCAAGGTGAGATTTTCGACAGGTATTCAAGAACTATATCATCTAAGGTAAAGGGCAATTGGAGTTAGGGTTGACTAAAATGTGAGCTTGCTTCTTGTTTTACTAGAGAATAAGTTTTTAATTAAAATCAAATATTTATGACATCGGGACAAGGAACATTTTAGTTAACTAGTCGATGCCATCAGTTGATGTTTTTAAAAAATCTTATCAATATAATACTCATAACTTAACAGTCAGCCATAATCTATTTAAACTCAGTAAGAAAAGAAGGTACAGAAGAAAGTCCAACAGACAGACAAGAAGTAGCAAGACAATATACATTCTAGTACAGTTTCCAAACTGACATATCAGAAAGGATACTTCGATAATTTGCTATCTTGTGTTTCTCCTTTTCCTTCACTAATTTCCTGAATATCATACCTTTAAAATACAGGTAAAACTATCCCTATTTGCAGATGATATGATAGTGCACTGGGCCTGGGTTGAGGAAGACTTGAGTTCAAACTGGGCCTCAGACACTTACTCAGACCCTGGGCAGATTACTTAACTTGTCTGCCTCAATTTCCTCAACTGTAAAATGGGGATAACACTTGTCTTCCAAGGTTGTTGTGAGGACCCAATAAAATAATAATTGTTAAGTGCTTAACACAATGCCTGGCACAGTTTAAAAAATTATTTTGGGCTCCTCTTCCTCACCATCACCACCATTATCTTCCTCTTCCTCTTTTTCTCCTGCTGCTGCTTCTCCCCTCTCCCCCTCCCTTGGAGCAGACCATCCTGGGCCTCTTTTGTGAAGCAGCAGCTGAGGAGACCCTAGGACTCGCCATGGCCGACGAAAAGCGGAAGGAAGGAGTCAAGACTGTAAACAATGACCACATTAATCTGAAGGTGGCAGGGCAAGATGGTTTGGTGGTGCAATTTAAGATTAAGAGGCACACACCACTTAGTAAACTAATGAAAGCTTATTGGGAATGACAGGGTTTGCCAATGAGGCAGATCAGATCCCAATTTGATGGGCAACCAATCAATGAAACAGACACACCTGCATATTTGGAAATGGAGAAATGGAGGATGAAGATACAATTGATGTATTCCAGCAGCAGACAGGAGGCACTGACCAAAAATAGAACATGTAACCCCACTCCAGAACCATGCTCCCAAGGAAAACAATACATTCACAACTAGAAAATCAAGATTTGGTTCATCCACATTCCAATTACTACAGTAGTTTTCTCTCTTCTTTGATTCCCTTCCCTCATTTCTTTATTGTACACAAAGTAACTAGTGTAGGAGCACAGGCATAATGCGTATATCCTTTTTAAACTAAATGGCCGGTGGTATGTTTTGATCAATATCAAATGGAGATGGGGAGGGGAAAAAAACAAACTGGTTCTGTGAAAATATCCCTTTTCTCCATTAGTGGCATGCTCATTCAACTTTTACCTTTATATTCCAGTAAATTATTTTGCTCTCACTGTTTAACAACAGCAAAAAAAAAACCCCACAAAAAAGTCCTTGCATACCTGATTTGATTGGATAATTTCAGTATTTTTCTTTTATCACTGTAAAACCAAGGACGATTTTACAACTTTTTTGCATGTAGCTGTTACATGTAGGGCAATCTCTGTCTCTCAGTGGGGATAAATTACTATAAAGAAATTGATCCTAGATAGTTTTCCCTTCAAGTCAAACATCCTGTTGTTTAAATAAACTTCTCGTTTAAAATTTTAAAAAATTAGTTTGGTTAAAAAACAGACAGATCAATGGAACAGACTAGACAAGGGAGAATCAGAAACAACAGTATTCAATAAGCCAGTGTTTGATAACATGGAAAACATAAATTACCTAGGAAAAAATTCCTTATTTGATTTTTTTTAATATCAAAAACTGGAAAAGCAGTCTGGCAAAAATAAGGTTTATGCAAACACCTTACTCCATGTTTCATGGATGTTAATGGACCTTAACGGTTAAGGTAATACTATAAAAAAATCAGAAGAGAAACAGATCATATACCTTTCACAGCTATGCAAAGGGAATATATTCTTAAGCAAACAAGAGATAGAGGTAATTACGAAAGATAAATAGATAACTTTGAATGAAACTGACAAAATTAATGAACCTTGGATAAGAAGGGAAGTGATTGAATGGGGAAAAATCTTCACATCAAGTTTCTCTGTTAAAGATTTTGTATCCATGACACATAAAATTTAATAAATATATACATATATAAGACTAACAGCCATTCCCCAATAGATAAATGGTCAAAGGATATGAAGAAACAATTCTCAGAAGAACTGCAAAGTATTCACAACAACATGAAAGAGAGCTCCAAAACACTAATAAGAAGAGAAATGCAAGACAAAACCAATCTTGAGACTTCATTTCACATCCTGCAAATTAGCAAAGATGACAAAGAATGACAACAGTCAATACCAGAGGGGCTGTGGGATGATAGGCACACTAATATATTGTTGGTGGAACTATGAAATGGTAAACCATTTTGGAAAATAACTGGAATTAGGCAAATGAAGTGACTGAATTATCCATAATCTTTGAACCAGAGATTCCATTACAGGTCTTAACCCCAAAGGAAACAATCGATAAGAAAAAAGTCTCCACATCCACAAAATATTTGTAGCAGTATTTATTCTGAGAGCAAAGAATTAGAAACAAAGTAGATGCTCATCCACTGAAGAATGACTAAATTGTGGTATATGAACATAATAGAATATTACTGTTTTAAGAAACGTTCTGCACGACCTGATGCTGAATAACTACCACAATGTAAATAGAAAAGAATCACACATACAAAAAAACAAAAGTGAACATAACAAAATTTAAAAGATTAAGCCATAACTCAAATGAAGAA